ATCACTGATGAGGCAAAAACGTCCTGGGCCCGAGTCCCACGTATGGGATCGTGGATGCGCAGTGCTGATATGTCTCATACTAGGATGAAACAGCCGTTCAATGCTTCCAGGTCTTCAATGGTGGTCTAACATTGATCGATCCATGGTCTCAATCAAAATCTAACAATCTCTGCAACCCCATACTCATAACCAATATGCTAACACTTGTGATATAATTCTACATAGAGGTAATCTGTTCGGCGTGAACTTACGACAATAAAAACTGATCATTTGAAGTCCTCAATATCAACAATTACAAGGCACTATTATTTTTTATCAAGAACGAACAAATCCACCAATTAATTATATATCAATTGATCCAGGTTTTCAATGGTGGTCTAACATCAATCGGTTCATGATCTCAATCAAAAAATCATATAATATTTTGTTTACATTCATTAAAAGTTAGAAATTTATATTTTCTCTTGAACTAAATTATTTGAAAATTAGTATTAATAGTATAATCATAACATAAGAATAAATGGTCAAGTGTAAAGTACTAAGATAAGATATATGTTTATGAATTTACAGCGCATCTGGTTTTCTGTGTTCACCAGATGTGCGGTATCAAGGATTTTCGGGTATTTTTTCAATTCATTTAGCAATTACATGTTGTATATTAGAGCATAAATTTTCATTTAAGATTTCATTTCAAGCCTTAAGTTTCACTTCGTTCTTTAAATTCAGAAATTTAGGTGTTCTAAGTTAATGTGTTCATAAAAGATCATTGTAGATAGTTTTAGAGAATTGAAATGAAATCCTCAATAAATATCATGATCTAATATACAGCTGTCATCCAATAAACGAGTATAATAATGTTCAAAAATATTAGATTTTACACATTTATTGAACACTGAAAAAAGGAATAAATATGTTTACATTAAAACAGTTATTTATGAAAAAAATATTCTACAAATATCTAATCAAAGAGGTACAAAATCTTCATATTTTTTAAAATTCTTTTTCTAACTTGTATTTTTTAGTGGAGTCATACATTTAGATGTCAATTGGATCAGACGATGATGTCGATAAGCTCACCGCTATTATATCCCTATATCTAACTTTAGTTACATTGTTTCTGATTGCTATTGAAATATACATATCATCAATTCTTGTATATAATGATCGACTTAGAATGCGTTAGTGGATAACGGAATTAAATAAGTTAAATACGAGAATGGATTTTCGAATACATATATTTTTTACACTCATCGATTTGGGCACCCAATCAGAAGAATGAAGCAAACAAAGCGAAGAGAAGAGAGCGATGCGAAATAACGCGCAGTGGAGAAGGCATGTGAACCAACTCCAATTAATCAAGAGTTAATCAATATTTATAGTCAGATAAAAATAAGTTACAGTCATGTGATGAGTAAGATAGGAAATGAACACACATACGCTTACATAAAATCAGTCAAGGTTGACAAGCGAATAATTAACAAGGTCAAAACGTAACTCAAAATGAATGAATAAATTAGCTTGTTCAGAAGCTAGAGTAAATTATGTGGGCTTAACATAGCAACAGACACTACAATTCATAATGATAAAAATCAGTTTCCACGTTTAAAATAAATTTATATTAAATATTTTATTGCTATGATCGTGTAAGATAGGGTCTTTTTAGTTACGTGCATAAATAAAATTTTAATAAAATCCATTAAGTAAATAAGGTAATTACTAATGGAATTTTATCTTCTTTGCTCAATATAGTAAAAAGTGTGTTATATGCTACTGAATTACTATCAACTAAAAAAAAATAATGTAAATTCACTTGGTATTGTTTGTTTGAATCTTCCTATTGATGTTTAGGACTGTTTAGGATTGATCAGTCTCTCATTGGCATATGTGCATACTGTGTGGATTGCCTCGATATAGCCTTAATTCACAAGGATTATATGCGAAGATGCATAATATCCAACAGTGGAATGCAGGACATGCGTTTCGTCCTATTTGGGACTCGTCAGCTGAATGTGCATACATGTCAGAGTTGATGTCCACTCTGGGACTCGAACTCATTACCGTTCGCTTCAAACGTCATCGCGCTGTCCACTTAGGACGAAACGCATGTCCTGAATTCCACTGCTAGCCATTATCCATGTTTGCATAAAAAATATTCTGTTTATTTCAAAAATGAGATTTGAAAAGTTGATAAGGATTTAAAGAGGATTGGGAAAAAACAATTGTTCAGTCATATTTATAAACTTCAATAAATTAACCGTTGTATTTTCATATCATAAAAGTTTTATTCATTATGTAATCATGCGTTCCCTAACAACTAGCTGTTAAATAACCTCCACAAATTCCTGCAATAATTCATTGTTGAAACTAATTAGTAACATCAGGAGTTAGGCTGTTATTACCAATGACAATCAATGATAATTTTGCTATTTCATAAATGTATTTACCATGAAACGTATAGATCAGTAGGTTTTATCTTGATTATCTGAAAGTTCTAGGTAGGAGATGATCAACTTTCATCAATTTTTATTGATACCAAACTGTCTTTTAATTTTGCCAACAAGAATAGTTTTACTGCATCATTTTCAATTTTTCTACTTAATTAAATTATGCTAATTGTCTAATGGTTCTAATGAGTCACGTAGCCTGCACCTAATAACATGACTCGGAACAACAAACAATGGCTTCATGAAAAAAAAGTGTTTGAGGTTTCTATGTTTTATTCATTGCTTTTCATGTTTAACATAAACTACAAATAATACACGAAATATTAGAAGGGGTTTTGTGGAGATCGTAGTATTTTTAATAGTTGAGATCATGAGTCAGTTGAAGCTGAGGAATCCCAAAATAGGACGAAACGGCCGTCCAGTGTTTCCAGGTTTTCCATGGTGGTCTAGCTTCAATTGACTCATGATCTCAAGTATTGATACATGAAATATTGCCGAAAACTCATTTTATGAAAATTCTTACATGTTAGCTACAAACATTTTCATCACTGTAGTATGTCGTATTTTATTTCATTTAACTGTATAAAACTCATAATTCATTTTCTTTAAAAGAAATTCATAATGATTTTAAAAAAAAGAAAACAAATGCCACATTTTCTTCCTATTACCTCGTATTTCAACTGTATAAACATTCAAGGTACTTTTTCAATACGGATTTACCCTAACAATTCTTTTAAAAAAATTTTCAGTTTGTCTTATTTTGCCGGAAAAAAAAGAATGAAAAGAAGAAAAGAACATAAATACCGCTAACATTTGTTTGCAAAATTAAAAACAAAAATTCTGTGTCTCCTATTGATTAACTGACGTCCATTAGACTTCAATATTATAACTACTAGTAGTGTGGTTTATGCTTCTGATATCGACAGATATAATTAGTATATATCATCAATCGAAAATGAAATGTCTGGCGGTAGGAGATTCAGAAAATCAATGAGAAGAGAACGTGAGCAGTGAGTGGTTAATAGAGAAATGAAGAAACAACAAAGTTTGAGACAATTGATGGATATTTTGCAAATGAAGTATTTACTGTATGGTTCTCAGATTTTATCAGGATATTCTATAACGTTGTATTTGGTTATTCCCACTGTTGTTCTCGTTCACTACAGTAGTAGTAGGGGTATGATGCTTTTAGATGTAGTTTTGTTCTCTGAGCCGGAGGGTTTGGTCGTGGAGCTTTCGTCGTTCCTCTGAACAACATCATCAGCACAAACTTCAGTTAGAAGTGAAGTTTGTGCTGATGATGTTGTTCAGAGGAACGACGAAAGCTCCACGACCAAACCCTCCGGCTCAGAGAACAAATCTCCATCAAAATCATCCACCTGAACTACAAATCTTCTCCATCATTTCAGTATGATGCTTACAAACAAATATCAAGAATATCAATTTGGAAATCATTTCGTTCATATCATGAATATATTGTGGATGAGTTGTCGAATATCTTAAAAATTCCTTATAAACTTCATATTTCTTACATCATAACATTTAATATCAGTTTAGATTTATAATTATTTAGATTTCATTAAGGGTTGATGTGTGTATTAAGTTGGTCCTTATTGATACACAAGATTAAAGGAGTAACATATTTGATCTAATCAAGTGATATGTCTGTTAGGATTTTTTTCTCTATTGAAACTTATTGCAAATTTTTCTTTGCTTAACCTAACAACAGACTTGTTCTTAACTAGAAAATTACTTTTTTAAAGTACATATCGTGACATTTTTAAGTCGATTCACACATTTAAAGAATATGATTCTTCATTATTATTAAAAGTATGGACAAGATGTTGATTTATGAATAAAGAAGACCATTTTTAATTTAGTAACTTAGATCATTTTAACAAAAATACCTTTTTATTTCTTTAGTTTCACAACCTAAGCGCGGTAACCATAGTTACAAAAATTTAAATTTTTAGTACTTTAAGTTTGAAAATAAGAAGGTAGGAGAGGGAAAGTAGTTAAATATAATCATGATGATGATAGGTTAACATACTGTATTCAATCGATGCCAAGAAAAAGCGTAAAACAGAAATGATGTAGTTTCTTTTTTGCACAAGAAATAATGATCATGTAAATCGAAAAAAAGTTACTATCTGTAAACATCAAACCATAATGTAAACAATTTGAATGAATGAGCTTAACACTATGAATGTTTAAAGTAAAGATAGTCAATCAAGAAGCACCTAATAATCGTTTTGTTCTGGTAAGAGCTTCCAAAGCGGTGAGTATATAAGACTCTACCAAGAACTAAAACCAAGTTGACTGGGAAACTTGAAGATCCAAGGTTTAAGCTCTAATAAGTTCATGCATGTGTGCTATTGATAGGTTCAATAGTTGAATGAAATAACTGTTCAGTGAAACATAGTCGCGATGTTTTTTCAGTTGATCTCAATTTGTGATGAAAGTAAACTTCTTAAATAATGGTTAGTAGGTAATAGATTTAAATTCTGTCCATCTGTTAGTATTCTTCTCTTGATTCAATTTATTTTTATATTACAGCATCTAATCCATGCTTACATCATAAATGTCGATGGCAAGGTGAAAAATGTCAAGTTGATATAAATGGTCAAGCTAAATGTACATGTCCAGAACCTTGTCCATCAGTTGTATCTCCAGTCTGTGGTAGTGATGGAGTGACTTATGATAGTACATGTCATTTAGAAAGAACAGCATGTCAAAAAATGAGAGAAATTCGTGTAATATATTCAGGAGAATGCAGTAAGTAGTTATTTTTTATTGGAAATTTTTAAACAATAGTTTAAAAGCCGATTACATGAGTCAAACTCACTACTATGTTTTTCATTAAACATGAAGTAATGAAAGATTTTTGAGCTAAACAATCATCCACAGATATATCATCTGTCTTCCTTTCATAATTACGGATTCAACCCAAAAACAATCAATCTCTCTAAACAACGGAACAATCTTCCGGATTCACAGTGTTATCTCGATGCTTTCTCAATATCTCTAAAACATTTTTTACTGGAGAAATTTTCATGACCAAATAAAAAACACCCACCATTGATCTATTACACTTTAAATGAATGCTAATAACCGGAGTAATATTTTCATTTACTGTTGAATATAAGAATTTTTTATAATTTTGAATATTCAAAAGAATAGATCCTTTGAAAAGTATGTTTGTATTACAGTAACAACTTATACTTTGAAAATTTCGATGCAAAATAAATTTTCATTCTCAATTACTAAATCACAGAGTGTTCCTAATATGAACTATGTATTCAACTAACTACAACTATATTACACTGAAATTTATTACATATTTTCATTCTATTTTTATACAATAGGATACGTCGTACAATTTTATACCACCAAACTCAAGTTACTAGGAGTGTTTTATACAACTCTTTTTAAATATAAAGTCTCAGGTTTAAAGTCTTTTCAACATATCATTCGACTTAAGTTTTGAACTAATAAATAGTAGATGATTACAACTTAAAATCGGACGTAAACAAAGAAGCTTTGGGTTTTAAAGTTAGCTCTATACCATCGAGATCTTGAATTACAATCCAAAAGTCTAATTATTTTTTAGTGTGTTTTCATGACACCATACATTCGATAAACTACAGCAGTAACTGAGATATTCAAATGGTTGATTAAGTTACAGAATTCTGAATGAAGAGTCATTACAAAATAGAACAAATATCTAACCAAGGTAGTATTATGATTAGTTATTTACCAGATAATAGACATATACTAAGGAATAAAAATGTAAATCACAACATAACTTATGACTCTGTAAAGCCAGTTGTTAAATATTAAATTTATTTTACATTATATAATGAAGTTAGTTTATCCATATGTGATTACTGTTTATTCATATTATCGAATCAATAAAAATCGTAGAACCCTCGAACTTTAATTAGAGTGGATTTTGAAAATGGATATATATTTCATTACATTTCATAGTACATAGTTAAAAAGTAGATTGTTAAGAATTTTTAAAATCTAAATTTGAGTGTCAATGATCAATCAGTCTTTAGTACTTTCCATATGAATTCAACCTACTGCTCACTAGTGACTAGCTGCGAGAGTTCTAGTGAGAAGTGGAGACCAGTGAAGCTAAACTGTGTCGGATGTGATGAAGGTACCTACTGAAAACAGTGGAAGATGTTTGCTTAAAGTCGTAGACTGATTGAAGTTAAACGTGTACACCATTAGATCCCGGATCAGTAGTCTAGAGTTTAAGTGTTCACGAGCGAGACCAAACATCTTGCTTTCGGTTCCTGTCTGTAGGGTTGTGGATGTTTGCTCTTGAGGAGTTCTATACTAGGACGGAAAGGTCGTCTAGTTTCTCCACTTTTTCGATGGCAGTCTAACTTAGATTTGTTCATAATTTATGTAAAACTGGACGATTTGTGTTTTGTAAATATCAACACTAATTTAAACGTTTCAAAAACTTTCTTTTTGATTAGTTTAATCAGTATAGACGCATTTTACCTTGTTAATAGTTAACCCGGTTAAATAACTAAGGCATTCAAACAATAAATAGGTACAAATTGATTAGTATTTTAAAGATATTTATCCTTTTTATTAATCTTTCAAGGTGAACCAAATGATTGTATACTGCTTAATCAACCATGTCAAGGATATGAAATATGTTCTCGCATTAAAAATCCAATGGTTTACACTTCAGTCAGCCGTAAATTGGATGCATCCGTTTATGACCTTTCGAATTCTTTTGAAGATACAATTCCACAGTGTATATGCCCTACATGCCCAGAATATGGTCTAGGTGGTCAGGTATGTGGATCAGATGGGCAAACATATCGTAGTGAATGTCATTTACGATCGAGCGCTTGTCAACGACATTCCACAGATTTAACTGTTAAATCAAGAGGAAAATGTGGTAAGTAATAATCATTTTGAGTATGTTAAGAGGTTTCGGTGCTAACTAGAATGTACGCTGCATATCCCATTGGGCACCCGCTCTTTCGATGTACTTATGACTTTATGTCGATAAAAACTAGCCACAACTCCCTAAAAGTCATCAATTCAATTACAATATGCCTTTAAAATGATTAATTTAAAATTTGGTAACGCTTTTTATTTGGCACTTATTTTTATGGATATGCCTATTGATCTTGTATACGATAATATTAAAGCAAACGACTAAGTAGATGATCAGTTTAGCTTAGCAGAGAAACAATATAAAAGTGATGAATGTAACGGATTTTAAATCATTGGTTAGGTTTCTGTAAAAACATATATCGCATATATAATACTTTAGTTCAAGTGTCATACACTTCTCGTTTCGTATACGTTTAATGCCAGGAATTATTTTCTATAAAACTTCATTGTCTTGAAATGAGCTTCGAAAGAGAAAGCTCACTATTGATTCCTAGTGTCTGTACACCATAAAGTCATTAGTTTTATGATGCAGATATGTGAACTGAGAAATTCCAAACTATTCCGTTTAGACTGATTTGGTTTAAGTATAGTACAATCATGAAAACTTTTGAAGCATTCTATGTTTAATATACATTCAACACTACTTCGTACTATCAAACGTTTAAATTCATAAACATTGAGCGAACAAATTTGTTGAAGGTAACATTTGATTGAAATAAAATTGGGTATTATGATGGTGAATATTAAAATATTGAAGTGTATAATGTTTTTGGCATTTTACAAATTTACACAAATTATTTTTCGTTCAATCCTAGTGTGAATATCTATGGAGACAATAATCCATAAAAACATGTGATAAAACATGTTGAATAGGAGGTTGACAAAGATCATCTAACTTGTAGTTTGTATCACTGAATGAATTCACCCAAATAACTATTGAAAACTAGAAAGCACTTGACAGTTGTTTCATCCTAGTACATAATTTCTTAACAGATCTCAAAGATTTAAATGTTAAGGAATGACTACGTGATCTGGTATAGTTCTGAATTTGAACACCACAAATAACTTCTACTAAATTTATGATGAAGTGTACGTACTAACTAATATCTACAAAGATAAATTCATTATAGTTGAATAGTAAGTTCTACCAGAATAAAAAGGTCCCAATATATTTTAATCGAAATAGTTAAATTAAAATAATTAACTTTAACCATTAAAATAGTTATTTCAATGGTTGAGATCATGAGTCAATTGAAGCTAGGTCATCATGGAAAACCTGGAAGCACTGGACGGCTGTTTCGTCCCATTGTGGGACTTCTTAGCAGTGCGCATCCACGACCTCGTCTCGCGAGATTCGAACCCGGGACCTATCAATCATGTGCGCGAGCGCCTAACCACTAGACCACTGAGCTAGCCGGTATCCAACGGTCTTAATGTTTCACTTCAACTAATCCACGAAATTGAGCGATAGAAATCTACCTAGTTACAATGAATAAATCACTTTGAAGTGATAGGTTCATACATATATCATGTAATTACCTGTTATTATTATTATTGTAAATCAATAATTCTGTTAGTTAAAGGAGAAAAAAATAAACTAATTCTAATGATACATTAGTAATAAAAATCAGTCATTATAATACAATAAGAACTACTTTATATTTGTTTATTTCATGAAATAAATAATAAAAACATTGTAATGTTGGAAAAACAATAAACGATAATAGTAATTAAAAGTTAATAGACAAGTAACTATTACATCACATCGTTTTTTCTTGTTTTAATTTTAGGCTGAGATATAACAATAAGCTTGAAATTTGGTGACTTTAATTCGACAGTCGATTCTGTTAGATATAGAGTAGTAATGAGTTGAATAGTATCAACGTTGGACAAATATATTAGGTAAATAAGTTAAACAGTTGAGTGTACTCAATCGATCAATACTGTTATATATTTAATATCTTCTCCAGATTAAAATATTGATAAAGTCCATAGATGAGTGAGATATGAAGTGACAATATGAAACGTATCCAGACTTGTAGTGGTAGAGATAGTAAAAGTATAAGCAGTAATCGGAAACATTAGGGTTTGAACATGTTAGTCAAGGAGTATAATCCAGTGAAATAAATTTGGCAACAGAAAAATAGGGACATGAAGAAGACTTTTCAACTAGAAAGATAACCATTGTAAAGTTGTTTAGTCTTGAATGGAAATAAAATTCCTCAATTTTTCCCACGCTTGATTCGATTAGGAATGAAACTTTAAACACTTGATTTATGTGCTACAAAATATTGTTCAGTCAGTGACTTTAGTAATTTCTTATCCTAAATGCTGAACAATTCATTCGTTAGTTTTTATCATCTACAGAGATTTATGACTTCCAACACCACTGACTTTAAAAGCTACGACTCACCGTTTAGAATTTATGAATATTTTCCCTGAATGTTATGTTTTCGATCTGGTGCACCCTTGACTAAGAAAGAAAAACACAATATTCCATTATTTCAAACTAAGTGCATCTGTAAATTCATCAACTGTATACTGTAAGCATCTTTTAACTTCATGTTATCTTATGTTTCTGAATAGTAACATTTTGTTTAAATCAATAACCTTTTTGTAGATGCGTGCCAAACAAAACAATGTAAATATTATGCAATATGTCAATTAAGTGCATTCGGTGAACCACAATGTATATGTCCAACAGATTGCCTTTATGTAAGTTCCTACTCAATATTTCGATGTATGCTATTCTAATTTCCTGATGATTTGGTAAAATTAGCCACCTACAGTTTAATATTCTATTAACTAAACTAAAAGATTCACTTAAATACAATCTATAGTTAAGTTTTTATTCATTTATCCAGTTTTGTAATCACCGAACTCAGTAGTCAACATGGAATATTTGCCCACTTATGTTTAAATTTAATGGTATAAATTCATTTTTCATTGTTTGCTTGAAGCATCCGATTGATATTTAGGAGTGCGATTGATCAGTCTATGATTAGTGTATGTACATCTGTTATAGATTGCCTCAATTTTGTCTTAAGTCATAAGCATTATAAGCAAAGATGGATGGCGGCTAGCAGTGGAATTTCGGACTGATCAATAACATTCCCAAACATCAATAGGAAGATTCAAACAAACAATACAAGGTGAACTTAAACTTCACCCCATTGCACAAGCAAGTGGCTATTAGGACTCAATAGCTAAGTGGATAACGTGATGGCGTTTGAAGTGAGAAGTACTGGTTCCAGTCCCGGAGTGAACATCAACACTGTAATGCAGGTACAACCAGTCGATGAGTCCTAAATTGGACGAAACGCGCATCCTGTATCTCACTACCAGCCACCATCCATCTTTGGTTTAATATGATTTATTTAAATCAGATATTTAGGGGAAATAAGCGATCATTAAATGTAAAGTGATATTGGTCGATTAAAAGTTTTGCCACAGACATACAACAATAATGATAGTTATACTGCAATGTATACATCTAGAAACTATTATGTCTCATCAAGTAGTAATCGAAGTTATGTTTGTCGTGTTGTTGATGCTGACTCGGTTTTATTGATCCATTTAGGTTCCAGATGTCCATAGTCAATGAGTATCATCTTGCACAGAATTCAAGTATAAGGCTTCCTTTCAATTACATCTAACCATATAGCATAATGTTTTTGTTAGACTAATGATGAACAACAATAAAGTAAAACATCTTTGTTTAAATACATGAATATTTCAACATACGAAATGTCCCTATTAGACAACTCATTTTTAATTTAATATTATTTATTAACTATTAAAAGCAGTCTATACTACATATATCTTGCTCTAAGTGTCTATCCAAATATCTGAACAAAAATTTATCAGATAGTATATGTTTAGTCAATTTGATCGAGTGTAAACTTAGAAATTAGATTTAGGGATTTCATCACAAACTGACATCAGCTAAAATGCCGAAGCGCTACTTAGTCAAATGAAGGAATGAATTTTGTGACCAAAATCCAAGACCTGTTATCGTAAATCTGATTGGTTCGTCCATAAATTATAGATTCGCTACAAAATACATAATCATCAGTGATGGCATTTTAGTGTCCTGAATTATCATCAGAATGTAAGTAATCATAATTAGAAATCTTTGAAACACAATGTTTCCCTTAATGGCTAATGTAAAATATACATACATACGCTAAAAAACCGACTTAGCGACAATATCATCAGTGTTTTCGAATGGTGTATGTTGCATAGTATGCAGAGGCCAGAAAGGGCTAGTGAAAGGGCTGGAACGTCATATTTCTGAATAAATAAGGCACAGGATAGCGGTTCCAGTCCCTTTACAGAATACTTATAATCATCCACAACCATAAAAAATAAAACGCACCCTATAATAATATATATGGCCATACGTTTTTAACAGATATGTCTATCATTCTTTAGGTTAGAAAGCCAGTGTGTGGAACCGATGGTAAAACTTATGAGAATGAATGTTTTCTAAAGGTGAAATCATGCGCTGACCAACGTGAAGTTCATGTTGCTCAAGAAGGATACTGTCGTAAGTGTTTATACTATAATAACCTTTCGAATTAAGATGAGGATTATCTGACTGTCTCCTACACCTATTAAGCAGTGAAATCGATTTTTTTATTGAGTTGAGAACAAACATTTTTAAACAGCTAAGTACTCAGTAGTCTATTATAACTTTTGCTAAGTAGAGGGGGCCAGTAGAAAATTCTTGACTAATATTTTATGATCAATATCCTTCTACAATAAGGTATATCTTCCACCTTAGGGAAAATGATGCTCTTTTAAAGACTTAAACCCACAGCACTCAACACCAATAATACAGTGATTTAATTATTGAATGTAGATAGACAACAATCAGTCAACCAGTCGCTTCAATGAATTTATATCTGTCCATGAAATAATGTCCATCACATGATCTGTGGAAGCCATGATATGCATTACGTATCACTTATGCATCTGCACACAGTTTATCTGTTTGAACTAACGAACATGGTATATTGTAAAATGCAGTTTAGTGAAGGACATGAAAGGACGGTAAGTCGTAACTTCTCTTTAGAGTATAATGCAGAAGACTTTTAAGCAAGAGGAAGACATACTTTGAATAGTCTTATGTCAAGGCATGTCTTAAATACAGAATATCAGGTTGATGTCTTAACAGTTTTCAAGATGAATGATAAACAGACAAGTTCTAATCTTCTGAAGTTTCCTGAACCTATTGCTGTCAGATGTCAGAAACCTGATTTATATGTTCTATAGGAAACAGTCAACAGATTTTCTCTACCTTGGCCATTTAAACTCTTTCTTTAAAAAGTAAAATTCTTATCAGCTTTTATCATTGCAAGTAACTGAACTGTCAAGTCGTTTTTCTCAGCTTTCTTCTAGTTCAATAATTTTATTTTTTGACCAAATGAGGGTTACTCAATTTATTCATACTTGTCATTAGCGTGTTTCCGTTACGCAACCACTTGTGTCTACCTTCTTAGTTTTGTTACTATCAATGTTTTTGGATGTTCTTCTACATGTATGATAATATATTCCAATATTTTCTTTAGTCTTTTAATTTTATCTACGACAGTAAAATGCATTAAGGACAATTTTTATCCAAATACGTTTGCTAATTGTTGTTTTGTACAAAAAGACTTCATCAAATTTCCTTTATATTTCAAAACAATTAACTAGGTCCATGTACAGCTGGTTGTCCACTGGGTTTTCAGTGTCGTAATGGTCAATGTGTATGTCGAGATGCATGTCCACCAAAGCATCCAACTGAACTTGATGTATGCGGTACAGATGGAAAATTATATTCAAGCGAATGTGAACTTAAACGTCAAGCTTGTATTCAACAAACTAACATAGATGTAGATCTAGCTGGTGTCAGATGTCGAAGTAAAAATCCAACTGTTCTACAAGATATAAATATGAAAACGTCAGGTAACATACAAGCAGGTATGGAAGCTAATTACATCTGTAGTTTGAATTATTTCTATTGCTACATATATATAGGCTTATCTCAGAAAATATTACACAATTATACTATGTAAACTGTAATTATTTTGTTTGTAGAATTTTCAATATATGTACATACATAGATTGTAAGTGATAGCTTGATAAATTGTATTATGAACAATGTGATCATAAATTCTAATATATATATATATATATATACATCAATAATGATGTTTTTTCATATTTTAGTCAAGTTCGTATAGTGTTCTCAAATAATGTTTTTTCCTCTGTGTCAGGTTAAAATGAATGTTGTTACACTTTAAAATCACAAACACGGCTGAACACCTTATTAGTCAGTTTACCCGATCTGTTTTTATGATAAAAACTAACATCGATACATTGTTGGAGAGATAATAGGTAATTTCCATAGAACAATGGGATATGAATATGTGTTTGTATACAGCTGACAAATGACACTAGAAATTTATTTCACTCACTTTAAAGCCTAAATAAAAAGTCTCCAAAGGACGATAGAAGCATTACTCAAAAGTAATCATTAAATTTGGTAATGTATGCAAACCAATGTTTATGAACTTCATTACAGGTGGTTGTGAGCTCTCAAAATATTCACCGAAACTCAATAAAACTGTTTTCAAACCACTTCAGTCGATCAGTCATTTAAATAGCTAACTCTGAGTAGCTTTGAATTTCTTATTACTTTCTTACAAATATTGAAGATAGTTGATTCTGAAGCTAATTAGTCTGTAGATAAAACTGTCGTTAATTTCTACAATCCTTTACAAAACTAACCATAAACATAATTTTTAGGTGTTAACTTCTAACTGACTTTAAGATAGGTCTGCCCAGATTTTTATGAAAACCTGGAAATGTGAAGGTAAACAAGTCAAAAACAAGATTGTAACCCACTGAAAACTTTGGTTGATTATCACATTCAACCACAAATAAATTGCAGTAACAAATCTTGACCGTCAAATTTAGGTTCAGTGGTTAGATGAGATCTTTTAGGATATGGGTTCGATTCAGTACTGGATAGTAACCGAACACTTCACAAAAATCCCAAGCAAGATTGAAACAGTTTTCAACTGTCTATTTGTTTCCGGTAGTTTTTCAAGTGATTTCAGTTCATGATACAAAAGTCACTTTTAGCTGAAAAGATAAAATTGTATTATTGATTGCTAACTAGAACATTCAAAATCTAATGGTTTTTATACATAGTGACAGGTAAACACAGTTTGCTTTTAAGTGGAGTATCTAGAGGAATCTGATAAAAGTATATTAATAAACAGGGAAAAGTGTTATCAAGAAATTCATTGAACTCCTCAGATTTACTTAGAAATCCTGAAGCTTTATTTTTTATAGAAACAAATCAAAAAAACTTTGTTGGATATGCTCTGCTCTTTCATATTTAATATTCATGCAAAATTATACAAAATTTTACTCAGTAATAATCCCTTTCTATAAAAAATGGTTCCCAGAACTAACAGTTATACTATTTCACAACAAAACAAAATGATTATTCAGTATGCTTTTGACTGGTAGTCTATAATAAATTTTTTTTCTATATATTCAAATGAATAGAAAAATTGTGTTTCTGACGTTTCGTAACTTGATGTAAGCCACTTCATCAGAGTAAACAAATAGTTGAGTTAAATTAACACAAGTGTAAATAGTAAAAAGGAAACAATGTTTCTTTGAAGTCACAAAACATCAGAAATACAATTTTTCTATTCATTGAGATAACACAAATAGTATATATATTATTAACTTCCTACCCAATGCTCAATTTATTTGAAACTTTCAAGTTCAACCATGGCATTAATACCTATGTTCATCTATATTTACTCGATAACGAACTGTTATAAGGATCTTTTTTTCAATAAAAGCATTTACATTTTAATTCAAAAGGATGCTTCGAAAAGATATTTCCTTTCTTTTCATATTAATAATTCAGATGGTGTAAGACTATCCAGTTGTACATGTAATAAACTTGGTGCACTTTCTGAAGAATGTGATTATTTAGGTAATTGTAGATGTAAATGGGGTGTTGGCGGTTTAAAATGTGATCAATGCCTTGCAAACTATTGGGGTATACAAAATAATCATGAATGTATTCGTAAGTTCAGAATTAAATATAATTCATGTAATTTTAAGATTCTATTATTATAAGATGATAATTGGAGATAGCCAATAGGAAACCCTGAACCCAAGTTCCGTGCTATTTGGAACTCGTCAGCAAGGTGTACGTGTAATCTTAAGGGAACTGATGCTCCCTCAAGATTGCAGGTACATCTTGCTGACGAGTGCCAAATTTCACAAAACCTGGGTTCAGGATTTCCTGTTGACTACCATCAACCACCATCTTATCTCAACATAGTGCACGCAATATCGAGTCACCTAGACTAGTGGCCACATTGCAACTTGGTCGATAGCATATGATCTGCACTAAGAAGGATTTGACACACATTACACTGATCACCACCCAGTGATCAATCGATTGTGAATCTATAATTTGTATAGTTGCAAATATTCATCATTTATTGTTGAATAAATATATGAACTGAGAAAGTGTGAAAATCACTGAAGTAATTTACTGTTTTCTGAAATAATAAGTTGGATAAAATGGTATTAAATTGTTCTTTTGAAGGTGACGACTAAAGTAACCAGTTCAAATATTCACAGATTCTTTAAAAAGACTCATACAGATAGATTTGTTTGACAGTAACAATGTAACTAATTTCTATTGGTTGTAAGTACTTAGTAATGTATAACTCCTTTCATCATTGAATTAGGATATCTAACTCAGTTAATAGTTATACACTAATCGACTGAAGAATATACCTCAAAGTAACTATTCCTAATCATGTTAAGATACATTAACAGTAGACCATAATACAGTGAATCGTATTCGTTTTCAATCTTAATAACTCGCGGCTGAACTGTATGTAAACCTATTGTTTTATTCATTTCATTTATTTTAATGAATGATTTTGACCAAAAAATTGAATGGAAATGCATTTAAGTGAAATGTGTTCTTGATTATTTGACCAGAGTTAGTGGACTATTTAATTAATCAAATGAACATTCAGTCCTGCTTGAGTAAAGCTGAATTGTAGTTAGTAGTCGAAAGCAATGTAGGTTTGATCAGTTTGATGCATCTCTAATATATTGTTGATTTTCACATTGAAACTCGAGTTCAGTGGCCTTACTTTCAAATACCAAATTATTACCTACTGAACTCGAGTTTACACAGCCACTAACTTGTTCAACGTGTATGCATTTATGTATAATAGTTAGTATTTCTCCATTGTTCATGTCAAAGCCTACTCCGCATACATACAGACTGACCACTTGCAGTTCAACAATGGAAGAATACAAACATATGCAGCCATACATTTTGTTTATAAACTCATAATTATAAATATCCTGGGAATATTCTGGGAAAATATGAGATATAACCTTTCTACTTTTAATCCCAAAATTATGTCAAAACAAATATGAGCCATTCATATGATGTGTTCCTAATTATTTTATCAGTCAAAATTAATTATTAAATTTATCTCAGTTTGTGTTAACTAGATCTGAAGAGTTTAAGAAATTGTTAATTATGTATAGAATTCTTTACTGAAATTTTCTTCTTTACATTTGTGTGTGTTTGTCTATGATTTTGATTTCTAAAGCATGTTCATGTCATCCACTTGGTTCAACTGAGACAACATGCAATCAAGCAACTGGTCAATGTAACTGTCGTACTGGTGTTGTTGGACGACAATGTTCAATGTGTCCAGATGGTAGTCAAGTGACAGAAAATGGTTGTAATGTTAAAGGACAAAGTAAAGGTAACAAAAAACTGATTATTAAAACTGCTGTTACTCATGAAATTTAAAGATGACTGTTTAAATCTTTTCATTTATTACTGACTTCCTACTTTCAGTAGACTTTAAAATTAGAATGACAAAAAGTATTTTCATGTGACAACAGAGATATAATATTCTTTAACAGTAGTTACTTCATGACATTAAGTTAATACTCCTTTTATCAAATCCACTTTACTGGGCGTACTATGCATACCAATTCAATAAATCGTTGATTGACTGAAGTTAGACTTTTACTCCATAATGAGTTCGATCCCCTGTGGTGGGATCGTGTGTACGAGTTGCTGAGACGTCTGATACCGGGACGAAACGACTATCCAGCACTTTATAACCAGGGATGTATGGTATTCGACATTTGAATCCATAATGTTAGTTTCGTCCTATTTGTTTGCTAGCCACCATACATCTTTGCTTACAAGGCTTATGACTTAAGGCAATATCGAGGCAATCCGCACAGGACGCACATACTCCAATAAGAGACTGATCAATTACAGTCCTAACCGCCAATGGGAAGATGTAAATACCTAATACAAGATGGATTATCCAGCACATTTTTGGTTTTGAATGATTATCAAATATGAATCGGTTCAAGATCTTCACAATGTCCATTAGTTAAAATAATAATCATAAACCTTTACTGCTTCCCTTACAAATAGATATCGAGTTTGAAAGTGATGAACAACAACATTTACTAAAGGCAACTGAATTAAATCAAACTAACACATTGATTTCCCAATTACCTGACAAACTAACAACAGAAAATAACAAGGAAGAGGATGGACGATTATTTACCGACACAACTACACTTCTTGTTCGTATACCATTTCATATCCATCAACCAACTGAAATACAAATAATTTTAAGTTTAGATAAAGGTAATGGAATGCTTTTACAGTATCGTGCACCTCCAAGTGAACAGGAACAAATGATTTTACGTGATACACAAGATCATCAATTCAGTATGGCTATTTCGAACTGGAGAGTTGTGTTAAAGTAAGCTGGTTTATTTATATTTTATGCTTACACATGAACTATCTGATATTTTATCAGAAGGGTTTTTGTGGAGATTGGAGTAATTTCAATAGTTAAGATCATGAGTCAGTTGAAGCTAGACCTATTATGGGACGAAACGGCCGTCCAGTGCTTCCAGGTTTTCCATGGTGGTCTAGCTTCAACTGACTCATGATCTTAACTATCTGATATTTCTCACACTTAATTCATTAGTTTAGAAAGATAATATGATATTTCTAGGTTAGTTTATCAATTACATTAGGGTGATAAGTCTAGGTAAGTATAAAACTTACTTCCTGAATAGTGAAATTGACCGTATACTATCATGGAATGAACCAATCTTCTGGGAATGAATCCCTAAATACTACGTTTAGAAGGAAATCAATTTTCGAATTCACATCTTGATTCAAGACGAACTTCGTTGATTGATTACCAATAGGTTCCCGTTAGTATCGATTTATTCAGTATGAAACCAGTTAAGTTTTTTAGGCAATTTATTGTATTCAATAATTCAGTGTAATTCTGTGAAAAGTGATGATTACATAGTTTGATAAATTTTGTTATCACCAATCACTGAATAATTTATATATGTTTGAATTAAACTTGGTTGAATTAGATCTAATTCTTTTGAGGATCATAGCAATTACATTTCTTTACAAGACTTCTCACCCTTTCATCGGTGAAATGTTGTGTATTAATCTTCTAATTGTTCGAAATTCAGAAATGCTAAACCCAAACTCAACAAATAACAATATTAATGAATTAGATGGTTATAGACTAATTTAATGTAACTTATAATATGTCATAGAAAGTGGGTATTAGTGAAGATTCTCATATAAGGACGAAATAACTGTGTAGTGTTCATTCTTTCCATTGTTTATCCAACTAAAGTATGAAGGTATGAGACTATCTGTAAATGGGACGAAATAGGCGTCCTGGACTCCACTGGTGGGCATATATTAAATAAACTAATTCTAAACATTGAATTTTAAAAAAATTTATTTTTCAGTTACAAATTTTTCCTTTATCTATTCATTTTCTAGATATATTGATGGTGGTGTTCCAAATCGTATCCTACTTGTTTATAGTAAACATAATCTTACACGAAATACCAAGCATAACATTCAAGCAGGTATTGTATCAGGTAGACCATGGATAAAAATTGATAAGTTCAGTAGAACAACTAATCAAGATGTAATTGAGAAATGGGCTAGTACTCATCAATCAGATAATCAACCTACAGCTGGTAGTCTTGAGACCATAGTAATTGGTCGACAAATCAAAATAGGTAGTCGAAGGTAATAAATATTACTAAACAAATATGAAATGATAATTTCTTCTCAGTATTCTCACTATCATTATCATCCCACTTCGATAGTTTTATTAATAAACGTTTTGCAAAATTAAAACGGTATGATTTGATCATGAAAGAATCTTCGACCAAAATCTTATCCTACGTGAACTAAGGCTTAAAGTTACATGCCAAAAGTAAGAAGCACAATTCCTCAAATGCTCAAATTCAGTCACTTTACATTGGATTTCATCCTAAAGTATTATTCAAATGGAAATGTTCTTGTTAGAAGACCTACTTAATATAGTTTAAACATATAGGTGGAAAGTACGTAGTATTTTTAGTAGAAAATGCATCAAGATATTAACCACTGGATTGTAAATTAGTGAACTAAAATTATCGTACTCTATTTGAAACTGGATGGTTCTCGATTCTACCCAATATAAGGTTATGAATACTAAAATGAGGATGAAGTAGCTATTGAGTACTGTTTTGTTAACAATGGTCATTGAGCTGATTTTTATCTGAGATGAAAACCAAACTCAAATTGAGGAAATATTATGATACTATAGGGAAATTGTCTAGACTGTTAAATTTCAGTGTACATCATGGACCAAATCTAGTTATACAACTATTAAGAACAGTGGGCACTGGACAGTTGTTTCATCCTAATATGGGGCGCCTCAAGAATCCCCACTTACAAACCCGCTAGAAGTGCTGAGAGATAGAAAATACGAAGCAGTAGTTAAGTGGTATTTCAAAGTTTACCAAAAGTGTAAATTCTTGGTTTTACAGCCAAGCTTACCTAAGATCTGTAAACAAACAAACAGGCACAACACCATACACTGGGATTCGAATCAGGACATTCAGCTGTCGAGACGAATGCTTAACATTTATACTATTAAACCAGAAACCTATGGGTTGTATGTCTAGCCTTGGTGGAGTTGTGGATTAACGCTTCCGATAAGTCCTACAACAGGACCAGATAGCTGCCTATCACTTCCTAGTTTAAAATGATTGTCTAACCGAAACCACTCTTTGTTGTAAACTTTGAAATCTCAAATTATTTTGTCATGCACACAAGCTACAAAGGTACTTTGAATTGCATTGTATCACAAAAGTTCTAATATAACAACAAACAGATGGAAAAGATCTGGTTACAAAAGATGAAATTCATTGTCTCATACACAATCAATAATAAAAAACAACATGACAATGATAGCGTTACATATATTATAGTGAACAAGAACGCGAGTGGGGATAATCGAATGTATTTGACATGATATTACAGAGCGTCTCAATAAAATCTGAGAACTATATAGTAAATAGTTAATATGCAAAATATTAATCCATCGCCTCAAACTTCACTGTTCCTTTTGCAAATATCAGTCGACTGTCACAGATTTCATTGCTCGTGCATTTTCATACCACTTGTATACCGTTTCCGTTCTTTCCTTATCGATCTTCTGCTGAAATACATTCTATGCTTGACCACCGTTACATACTACTTATGTGAATATAAGTAACCTACACCACAATATAACTATTTCTACACAGTTTAGAAGTGTTAATTGATAAACAAGAATATACTTTGTCAAGAATACATTTACGAAGTTGGAATTACTTACTTATTAATTCAGTATTTATGGGACGAATTAAAATTGTCCACCTACTTATAAAATATAAAAGAATAGGAAATCTTAGTTTCATTTTAAAAAATGAGTCTTTAGTTTTGATGTATTATGCCTTATGAGAATTGTTATTCACGTAACATGAAATTACCGTTTATAGTAACATGATTGACTATTAAGTAAATCTTTCTTTAATTGCAGATTTGTCTACTTATTTATAGGTTGAAAGTTTTATTTAAGATCTGGTTGTACTATTTAGCTATCTGAATTAATACAGATTAAAAGGAGTTCGAACCCTTCACCTCTCGGCTTAAATAGATAAGTTTCTTTGCTTTAATAACAAACAAAAAACAATCCCCACCAAGGCAATATAAATAATGTAAAAAAGAACATAACTAGAAATAAATGATTCTACTCATAATCTAAAATGTAAAAATTTCTAATTATAATTGTATACTGATTGTTAAGAAACTGCATACTAAACAACATAGCTTTCGCATGCTTCCTAACATTTAATGGTTGTTTAACTTAGGTCGGTTTACGATGTATACTGTGAAAGTTCAACAGATAATTTATTTTTTTCAAAATCCTTTAAACTGTATTTTTCTAAATGATTTGTGTTTCACTATGTGAAAAAAGTGATGTTTGTTTTAGGTGAAATGTGATTCGTTTTTTTCCTTTTTAAGGAATAAAAGTTACAATGGTTGAGATCATGAATTAATTCAAGCTAAACCATCATGGAAAACCTGGAAGCACTGGACGGAGTTTCGTTCTATGCTCACTAGTGACTGGCTTAAAGGGGTATATCTTGGAGTTCTAGTGAGAAGCAGTGACTAGTGGAGTTCAAACAGGTCTATTGTGAGATAGTAATTCACTGATAACTGGTGGATGTGTCACTTAATTTCTTGGATTAGTAGAAGTTAGACATTAACACCATCGGATGCCTGCCGGCTCAGTGGTCTAGTGGTTAAGCGCTTGTGTGCGAGACTGACAGGTCCTGGGTTCGAATCTCGCGAGATGGAGCCATGAGTGTGCACTGCCGAGGAGTCCCACAATAGGATGAAAAGGTCATCCAGTGCTTCCAGTTGTTCCATGGTGGTCTTGATTCAAATGACTCGTGATCTCAACTATTGAAAGTACTACAATCTACACAAAACCCATTCTGATACGAATAAAAGTTACATAATAATGTATCTTATTTTATAAATATTTGCTTAGTGTAATTGACTATGAATAGATGTAACTAATCTATAGGAGTGATCCAATCAGAATGTAGAAAATTAAATTTGTTTTTAGTAGTTTTAGTAGTATTAAGAAAAAAATAGAATGACTTCTTTCCGACATCATATGGAAAAGCATTATAGAAATACTTTTGTGTAATTGACGGGGGATGCTGTTTGACCATCACTGATTGGAAGCAATAATGTATAAAAAAGCAAAATAATTGCTATTTACTATGGCCACTGTAAATGACACATAAATCAATGAGTATTTATCTCAATAGCTTCTGTTCATGATAAAATAATAGGAAGCTATTCGTGTAGTAGTGCTTAAATATATATCGATTATTGGTCAAGACTGTTCTAGATTGTTGCCTCGACTTTCTGTCTCTTTGACTTTTTAAAGAAGTTGGTAGTAAAGATTTTGTAAGTCATCAGGAATTTCCTGCCAAATTATTTGTATCTATCAAAACAATCCTGTTCAAATTCAAATAAATGATATTCCGTTTAGATATTTCTTCAATGTTAAGATTAGAAAACCGATATTAGGTCTTGAAAATTCGATAGGCTTTTTAAATTCTTTATACCCTTACAAGTTTCATTAATTCTGCAACAAAATACCCTATACTCATAAAAATCCTTTCCCTTTTATTAACTGAAAAAGTGAACTCGAAATCATAAGGTCATTTTCTCGTTGCTGTTTCCTTTGCGCCACGGTTTAGCTATATCCTTTGAGTTATCCTGGGTTGGAGAAACTACCGAGCTGTCCTAACTGAAGTAAGTAATTCAGTCTTCCAACCATCGATCTATTGGTTCAAATTCAGGTACGATTACCCTCAACAACTACTTTCCGTTTTATATGAATGATATTTTCAATCGCCTGTATCCATATTTCATGATTGTTCGAAAACCCTTGAAATATCGATCACTAATTTGAAACTTATGACAGTCATCTATAAGTGAATAATTACGACTACACCCGTGCTTTTGCATAAAGTTGCCTTATCAAGTTATATATTTGTATTCTCCAGATGAGTAGAAAAATTAGATTTTCTGACGTTTCGCGACTTATTGTAAGCCACTTCTTCAGAGAATAAATAACCAAATCAAAATCAACCCAAGTTTCTTTACACTATTTTAACTTGGATTAATTTTGATTTGGTTATTTATTTGTTCTCTGAAGAAATGGCTAACACTAAGTCACGAAACATCAGAAAATCTAGTTTTTCTACTCATTGGGATATTGCAAATACATTAATTTATTTGTAACAATCTATCCAATCTTCAATTTATTCGAAATTATCAAGTCAAACATTGGTAATGATACCTACAGTGTATTACAAGCTTTAGCTATCTTTGACTACCCAATAGTACGAACATTCAACATTTTAATGAAATTTCTTAGAAATACCAAGGTTAAGAATAGCCGGAAATGTCAGAATTTTTCTTGTCCAACTCATATATTTCCTTTTTGTAAAAATTAAAATTGTGTTTATTCCGCCACATAGTTGTGTGTCGTACGTCAATCATTTTCGTTACTCTTTCTAATTACTAAAAAACATTTACATTTCTACTGCACTATTCATCTTTATTTGGTTGCCAAGGTCACTGATGGTATATATATAATTGGTTTGAGTTAGTACAATTTGTTTATATAAATACTTGTCTTATTCTCACTTCATATTAATTATGATCTGAGTATAAGAAATAATCAAGAACTACTCATGGTTCCATATTGAAAGAATTAGTTTATTTATTGTTCAGAATTCAGTCCAATGCAAAGAATTATTTCTTACTATGCATATACTTCTATCTTGTAGGATAGACAAATGTAGTTATCGGTTCTTTTCAAACGTATCTGTTGCAATAGGTATGTTGCTCAGTAATTAAAAATTGATCATGAGAAAAATAACACGGTGTTTATATATGTTTTGTTTCTCAAGTGAACGGTTGTTTCCAACTCAATTCATCCAAGTTACTGTTTCTAAAAATGGACATAAAAATATACGTTAACTTTAATTTGGAACTATGTAATTTTAATTTCGATAATGTAATAAGATGAAGATTATCAGAACTATGCGATATATTAGTGCAATACGTTTCGAACAATCTGATCACACATAATATACTGTTTAAGAACATTTTTAAATAAAAATAAAAGGTCAACTAGACTAGAAATGAAGGGTAAGAGGAGACATGTATAATAAAGAAATTGTGTGGAAACAATTTGAAACCCCATCACTCTGAATAAGCTAAGGGTAGGTTTAAGGTGAGAACAAGCTGTTTTTGAATACTCAATGGGGGTTTGAATTTTCGTATGGCTAAGGCTTCAATAAATCTTAGTTTATACAACACCACAAAAGCCGAGGTAAGATCAATCTTATGACCTGTCTCAATTATATATATATATGTCCATGTTATTCATATTCATATCAATTGCTCTCGCTCTCTTGTTCTGGCTCTCTTGCCCTTGCTCGCTCGCGTGCCTGTTTGCATTTCGGTACAGCGCTTTCATGCTAGCTTAACGCATCTGTAATTCTGGATATCTGTTTGTGGTCCATAATAAACGTAATCAAAACTTCGTATTCGTCTTCTGATTAATATATCGTTTGAGCGTTATTTAGTGACGGTTACCGAGACGAACTGTATACGAGGTTTAAGGAATATATCGAACACCGACCACCACACCCAATGCACTTCTAGTGTTTTTTTCCTAATTTTCTCCTCAGTTGTACTCTTTTGACGATGATTGTTGTAATTCTCAAAGTTTCAACTCCGTACGGCAGAACTGTCTTGACGAAGGTATTGAAGATTATGACCTTGATATTGATTGACAGTTGTTTTGACTCGCATATGTTCTTCAACTGTAGGAATACTGTCCTAGCTTTTCCAATCATCGCCTTCACTTCTGCATCTGATCCTCCTTCTTCATCGATGATGCTGCCAACCAGGTATGTGAAATCTTCCACCTCTTCCAGAGATTCTCCACCAAGTGTGATTAGGTTGGTGTTCTCCGTGTTGTATTTGAGGGTGTTGCTTTCCCCCTTGTGTATGTTGAGGCATGCTACTGCAGAGGCTTCTGCTACACTAGTTGTCTTCATCTGTATTTGTTTGTGTGTACATGATAGAAGGACTAGGTCATCTGTGAAGTCCAAATCTTCTAATTGGTTCTGATCTGTCCATTGTATGTCGTGTTTTCCCTCACATGTTGAGGTCTTTATAATCCGGTCGACCACCAGAAGAAAGAGGAAGGGAGAGAGTAGACATCCTTGTTTGACTCCGATCCTCACTTGAAAGTTGTCTGTCATCTGTCCTCCATTCATGACCCTGCAGTTTATCCCATTGTATAAATTGCGTATGATTATGACGATCTTCACACGTACACCACAGTTTTGAGGAAGTCTCCATAATATTCTCTTAATTACACTGTCAAATTCTTTCTTATAGTGAAGGAAGTTGATGCATAGTGATGAATTCAACTCAATTGATTGCTCAACAATAACACCAGATAACATTCATTATGATCCCGTCCTTCTTTGTTTTGAATGATGCTTTGACGATTCTGGATCCATGAGACTCCCATTCTGTGAGTGCTTTTCATGCTTCTTTGAACAGCATCGGTGTAACCCCTTGTGTGCGTGCAGCATTTCCTTCTTGTGATCAGAGTACGGAAGCATCTCTTCCGAATTTATCCTTTTCTGTCCAGTTAGGTCCAATGTGTTTCAATTATTCCGAGCATCACCGAATTGAATCTCCTCATTTCCGTAACTATTTGATTAATCCTCTTAGTCTGCTAGATTGTCTGGGTATTTCACCTAACTATACTAATTTTTGCTGTGGTTGTTAGAAGGGACATCGTCCTTATGAATTCCGAAGAACCTCGACTTTCATCATGAGGCGTCATAATTCTTCCGAAAGAAGATCCCTCAACTTGTAGGGCAGAGTTAAAATGATTTAAATTTTTCATTCTGATTAGCTATTTTTTTAGCAAGGTTGTCTTCTACGGAATACGGTCCCATGCCTAACCCTCCTCCTTTATGTGGGCTTGGGACGCACTGTAACCCTAGAAGAGCTACAGGCTGAATTTTTTACTAAACTGTATTTGTACTAAGGACTCCAATAAACCGTTAAGTAGTACCATCTTATTTCTTGTAATCTCGGTTGAAATAATCAAGAAAATGCATTTCAAATCATATTATCTACACTTGATTTGTTTGAGGCAAGCTAAATGAGTGGAAATATAAAATAACACATATTGAGTAAATCAGTGAGTGAATGAATGAATGCGTGAGTGAGCAAGTGATTAAAACCGTCACAAACGATTAAGTCGAATTTATATTGGAAAAAATTTAAATGAATGCTCCTGTTTCTATGACGAAACCTTATATATGTAAAACTTAGTTTTATACGCTTACACTTTTCCTAATTCTATTCTTATCAATATATGTACGTATTTCAGTTATATGATATCTAATATTAATTTTGTATGACAGTATTTCAGATGTAAAAGAACGTACTGATATTCATCAAGATTATGGATTTTCTGGATGCTTAAATAAAATGATTATTAATGCTGGTTCACCAATGAAACAGTTTAGTTTAGGTCTTTTGGAAGCTATAACTACAAAATTAGCTTGGTTAGGAATTGAACCTAACCCATCTACAGGTCATAGTGAAGCACCATTATGTTCATCATCAATTAAAGCATTATCATCACCTAAAAATGATATATCTAATAGTGATACCGATGAAAATATTCCACCTTTACCACAATCAGATCAAGTTCAAAGACATGATAATGTAATTAATCAAAACGTTCAAACATTAACTAGTCACATTCAAACTAAAAAATGTGAAAATTATGGTATCGGATCAACTGGATCAGATGGAAAGTACACGTGTATCTGTCAACCTGGATGGCAAGGTGATGTATGTGAACAAGGTAGGTATCTTTTTCTCTGGAACTGCTATTTAACATAAGTATTGAATACAAATAACTGCATTCCGACTAGGCTGTCTCAGGGTAAAATAGTCATTTTCAGATATGAAAATTAAGTATTCTCCAAGAGAAATCAGTCATTCTGTTAATGCATAAACCCTTTGATCAAATGTTTTATTAAAGCCAGCGTTAAGATCCGAAAAAGCACGTATCTTGATAAATTTCCCCTTTAAAACTCAAACAACATAACCAATGGGCAAATACATACTATCGTATTCAAGTGAACAGGAGATGAAGGCAATCTAACGAATAACTCATTGAAGTTTGAAGCGATTTTTTATGGATATATATACTTGATCGACGAGTTGCAAGCAGAAACAAATGACCGGTAATAGTGTTAGTCAAACACAAAGCGTAAAAGCTTAGATTATATAGTCAGATGAAACTTATAAGAACAATGTGATATGTTAGAGCAATTCATTAGGAAGAAATTGACTACACATTAACATATTAAGATATTAATACGAGAAATTTGAAGTTTAGACTAGATGAATAGAAACTTCTTAACAATTCGGATATCATAAAGAAATAATTTCATTCACACTACTCTTGAGATAAAAAAAATTCAAATCAGAGAATGACAGGAGTGAGAACTGACCTAGAATACATAAGCTGGGTTTGAATATACATATAACTAAGGCTTCGATTAATCTAAGTATTCATCTTAGGCATGTGCTACACAACACTACAAAGACTGTTTTGAGATTAGTACTTACTTACGCCTGTTACCCCTCGTGGAGTAGTATAGGCCGCCCACCAGTTTTACTGCCTATTTCAACAGTTTTTTTAATTATGTTCATTACTCTGGTTACTAATATTGGTATTAGTCATAGCTTATTTCTTTATTATAAATGCAACTGCTATTAATTTGTTTAATCCTTTTTTAAAATCTAATAGATACTACTCATTTCTGTCTTAATTTAGATAAATATAATTGCTTTTTTACACTTTTAGCGGTAACTATTATACCACAGTTTTCTGGAAATGGATTTATTCGTTTAGCTGGTCCAACTGGGAAACATGCAATAAAACGCAGAAAGTTACATATTGAATTAATTTTCTTAGTTACACAACCATCAGGTGAGAAAAAATATACATAATTCATTGTAATTTAACTGTAGAAAAAACGTGAAGTAACTTCAGTTGTATCATTATTTTGAAGTCAAATTTACTACCATTACAATGATGTTAGCTGTCTTTATTTTAGTCAGCGTTCGTTCTTGTATTTTCTTAATAAAGTGATTTCATAATTATAGACAGTTATCATGAACAAATGTAACCTTAACAGAAGTCAATACTCGGAGAATTTAAAAATGAGCCAAGGAATAAGAAATAAATTATTTATTGAAGTATTAACTAGCATCTACCTTGACAACTTAATAAGGTTTGTATAATTGTTACTATTCAGCTGTATAAGCCTTCTATAGCATTTATCCTTATCAGAAACTAAATGGAGCACAGGGGAAAAATGGCTTTAGAATATTAAAGATATTCCCATTGTGAAAATTAGAACAACACATATAAGCGAACAAGTTTGTTTTCAGGCTTTACTCTAATATACAGTAATATTTATACGAAAATGCTAAACCAATCGAGGCGATTTGTGTCAATAATCACAATGAAATAGAATAAGTCATCACACATAATAGATAAAAGTACAAGTTGATAGTAGGAAGACAGGTGTACCGATAGTAGGTAAGAATAATAAAGTACGGTAACAAAAGTCCTATCAATAGTTAAACATTGGAAATAGTAGGTCAAACATGTGTAAACGGAATAGTCACCACAAAACATTAAAGTCATTACGTAATAAGAAGTGTGTAAATAATTAGATAGTGAAGAACACAAACGTAAAGAGACGGATGATTACAAAAAAATAGTGGATGTGTAAATACGGGTAGTGATAGAATAATAATAAAGAAAAAAGGAAAAATAAAACTGAAAAAAATTAATTGTTACTTAAGTTATAACTGGTCATGGAAGGGATAGGGGGGTTACGAATTTCTTCTGTAAACATAAATTGGGGTTATATGTACGAATTCCTATGGCTTCAGCTATATGTAGGAGGCAGGAACGAACTCCGTTGGGAAATGATGGAAGTATACGATAGATCACTCCAAATGATTTCGATTTACCTACAACATGACCGATATCAATAAGATGTGCCAAGATAGAATTGCGTATTGTTTTTATCTGGCCGTTTATAAACCAAGTTGTTAGATGTTCACTCATTCGTTGGTTAAGTTGCCACAGGAGCAGCTGAATTTGTATATGCACATTGAGGAGCCCAACTCAGGTAACTTATCCTTTGTTTGGGTAGACATCGCTGGTCGACAAGAGAAAGTCAACGCAGGATTGGCTGCGTAGAATGTTCTGCTGATTACTTTCGTTAACCTATATTTCAGAGTATCACTAGCCACATCCCCATTGAATTGTAGTTTCATGTATAAAGGTTTCTTACGAACAGTCGAAATCTCCGACTTTTTTATTATGTCATACATGTACTTATTAATGAAAGCACTGGAGTAGCCGATCTCGGTCAGTGAGTTGTTAATAACTTCAAGCTCCTGACTCAAAGTATCACCTGTACAGATCATTTTGCTCTGCTTGTGAGACATCTAACCAAATTTCTTTTGTAGCGAATAGGTGTGAAACTGCAGAAGTGGGTTTATTGGCAGGTAGAAGGGCTTTTTCTATACACGATCCTACTTAATGTGCCATCACATCGTCTGCTTAGTGTGACGTCAAGGAAGTTCAGCTTTTTGTCATGCTCGCTTTCACCAGTGAAACTGATCGCTGGGTGAACACTTTTAAATTGTTTTGGGAGTTTCTCCTTACTGGTGTTTTAACCTACGATAATGAAAGTATCGTCAATGTAGCTGCAATATAAATCAAGCTTCTAGCTTTGTTAGAAAGAGATCAGCTAAAATCGGGCCTAGAGGTGAGCCCATGGCTATCCCGTCTATTTGTCTATAATAAGTATTGTTGAAGACAAAATGGACATTCAGCGTGCATCTTAGGAGCAGTTCCTTTAGACTATCTTCAGGCAAGCCAATGTTGATTTGTTTTTCTGATATTTGCTTGCATATAAACTCGATAGTCTCCATAAATGGCACGTTGGTGAACAAAGATACTACATCCAGTGAGATCATATTTTTCATGCTAACATTCATATTTCCATTTTGGGGGTGAAGTCGAAGACATCTTTTACACTATTTCTAACAACTGATTTGTGGAAAGGCTCTAAGATTCGCACTAGCCACTTTGCAATTTTGTGGTACGGAGAGTTGTACATATCGAGAACTGGGCGTAGTGGAAGACCCGGTTTATGAACTTTAGGCAAACCGTACAGTCGTGGTGTATATGATCCATTCGGTTTAATTGAGTCATGAATCTCAGTCGTAATTATTCCTTTTTTCTTTAGATCCTTAAGGAGATTAGCCAATTCTTTTTCTACTTTATTAGTGATGTCATAATTACTAGTAACTTTCTGAAATTTGCTAGGATCACTAAGCATTGCTTCCATTTTTTCGATGTAATCCTTTTTGTTCATGAGAACTATACCTCCTCCTTTGTCTGGTTTGCTTATTGGTTTAGCATTTTCGTATAAATATTACTGTATATTAGAGAAAAGCCTGATGACGATCTAATTGAAAACAATATTGTTCGCTTATATGTGTTGTTCTAAAAATAGTTTTAAGTAATTTCAAACTACAAATTACTTACTAATTTGTGTACCTTAGTTTTTAGCAGCTCTTCAGCATTACACCAAGTTGTACACGAAAAGCAAATTATAAACAAAAGTTTTATTGTTTGTTTATAGTAAATCTTATAAATGATTCAATCTGTAGTGTCGGTTACTATGTTAAGCCCATGTAAATTATTCTAGCTTCTGGACAGGCCGATTTATCCATTTTTCTTGAGTCACATTTTGACTTTGTTAATTATTTGCTTACCAATCCTGGCTGTTTTTGTAAGAACGTATGTGTGTACACTTCTTATCCTATTCATTACATGTCTGTAGCTTATTTTTTCACGACTATAATATTGATTGACGCTTGATTGAATTAAGTTGGCTCACAGGCCTTCTCCACTGCGCGCCGTCTTGTTTCGCTCTCTTCTTCTCTTCCTTCGCAATGTCTCTCTAGTTATCTGTTCCTATCAACGATTGCACAAAATATATGTATTCGAAAATTCGATAACTTATTTAATTTCGTTATTCAATAAAGCTATCTAAGTCGATAATTGTATACGAGGATTGGCGATATATATATTTCGACAGCAATCATTTATACGACCTAACGGAAGTCAGATCCTGGGCCCCACAAATCACTTACAGATCGTTTTATTCCAAGTGTTTTTAAAGAGAATTCTTATTATTTTATGTGCTATCTAGATTTTCTAGTCAACTTTGTGATTTTTTTAAAATTTTTTTAAGGTTTACTGTTTTTAATTCCACCTAAATCTCCTCAACATGGTCCATTTATAGCAGTTTATCTAGATGAACAAAATTATTTAAATGTTGTCTGTCGAACTGGTAAAGGAAAATTAGTCAGTGAAAATATTATCCAATTAAGATATAATAAACCAGTACCATTAAAACAATGGAATACTTTAATTATTGATAAACTGCAAAAACTGCTACGTGTTAAAATGAATAGGAATCGAAGACAACGTGTATCACTTGTGAGTATTTTTTCTCTTAGAAAATAATTTCGTTGATATTTTATTGGATCGTTTTATTTTTCGTATTTTACTGTATAGTTACACTGTTGTGTATACACTGTGTAGTGGGCGAATGCACATGTGGGGACGACCAAAATCATTTCTGCATAAAATTACAGAATTTCTTGGTAAAACTATGAGAACCATTCATTGAACACTTCATTTGAAAAATTCCATCATATATGCTTCACACTCTGTATGATTCTTTCAAGTCACGATTTTTTTCTATTTTTGTTTTCTGCTGCCTCTTCAACTTGATCTCCTTAGCCTTCTGATGTCAGGGTTTCCACTTCCGGTTGGTGCTATATACTACTCATATCTGTCGATATAAGTAGCATACACCACAACAACAATCATTTTAATCATCGTATTATATTCACTAAATCTGATGTTATTTTTCATATTACGTAATCTAGTATTATAATCATTCTATTACGTCATCTTGATTATTTGTGTTCACATTTCCTCACGGAATTAGTGCTTTAACAAAAAAGTTTCATATATATACGTTTATACAGCTTGATAATGAATTCGTTGAAAAGAGATCCCTTTTATAACTAACTGACGAGTAATTTTAATAATGTCAGTAAACTTTTCACAGTTGTGTATAGTCCTGAGCATATCAATCACATCAGTGCTGTTGGACGAAATTCATGGAGCGATAAGCAAAAAAATGAAAACACAAACATCGAATATGGTAGAAAACTGAATGCATATAGAGAAATAGTCAAAATTACGTAATGTCAAACATAAAATGAACACAAATTAAAATCACATCTAAGATTAAGATGAAGAAGGTATTGAATTAATTCATTCCCTTAACAGAGACAATTTTGGAACCACGTTCACAAAAAGGTCCTCACCTAAAGATTACCATTATTTTATAAATCTAGACAAGATGACATCTCATTATGAAAGACGACCTTGAATAAAAGCTAAACGCTGCATTTATCATCCGAACCAATGTACCCATTCGAAAAATCTGATTGAATATGTAATTTTCCCACACATTGGCTATTGTAGATTGGATTAAATAAAAAATTAATTTTCTCACTTCCACGAAGATTGAAGTCTGGTACTTTAATAAAGAATTTTCATTAAAAGTCAATATCTATTCTCCCAAAAGAAAGAGTTTTATAAATCCTATGAAGCTATCAAATTGAACCTCAATTCAATCGTGAACGTAAAGAAATTTCCGGCAATCAGACTTTTGTCCTTTCCCTCTCCATATATCTCTTGACTCAGCCTCCGACTATTCAGAAAACAAAAGAAAGTCAAAAGTTTATCGCCCGTTCCAGCCAACAATAATAAGTGAGACGATGCACATGTATACCTCTTTCAACATGACCTTGAAAATCAGCTTTTCAGGTTCCAAGTTAGGGAGGTCAGATCCCAAAGATACGTGTGCAGTTTAAAAATCCAAAGTGTCAACTGTTATCAAACTTCTTTTCTGGTCGATTTTTTTTTGAAATCAGAAAACACGACTCTAACTTTTAAAAACATAATAAATTACCACTTTATTTATCTGATTTGTATAATTTAGATCCCATCACAATTTACTCATATACAAAATCAGCTTCTAAAAGAGGTATGTTCCTAAATTCGCTGTATTTTGTATTATTAAACTAAATTATTCGCATACGACTTTTTTTATCCTGACAGTATGTTGTAGTTTACCTTTCGACAAATGCTTTGCATTTATTAAGCTATATATATATATATATATATATATATATATATATATATATATATACAACAAAATTTGGTATATTAGCTATAAAACTTAAACCCGTTTTTGTAAACACTCCCTGCACTGACTTTTTTCTCAATAAGACGTCTGGAATTGTGTAGACTATATTTTTGCAGGAGTAAAGAAATTACTTCTTCTAGTATTGAAATTTCTAAATTAAATGATTTAAGTTATGAAGCGTTTATTCTTTATCTGAACCACTTCCAGTTTAGAAAATGTAGAACCACTAAAAGAATATATCTAAACTACGAAATTCTTATTCATCATTAGAAGGCTGTCCTCAAAGTAGTTGGTTAATCTTTTCATCTCAATAATGAATACGGACGTAAATAAAGGTCAATGTTCTTTTAGTGTTGTTGTTGCTGTTGCTCCATGTTGCATTAGTTCTTCTAATCCACAGACTACAATATTGTAATTCCTATTTCTAAATATTAGATTGATAACAAATATCATTGATTTCGAAAAACTTACTTACATACGCCTGTTATCCATCATGGAAGAGCATAGACCACTCACTAGCATTCTACACCCAACTCTGTTCTGGGCATTCCTTTCCAGCTCTTTCCAGTTGTTTTTCATCCTTTTCACATCTGCTTCTATTTCCCGACGTAATATGTTCTTTGGACTTCCTCTTTTCCGCTTCCCTTCAGGATTCCAACTTACGGCTTGCCTCGTGATGCAGTCTGGTGATTTCTACTATGTATATCCTATCCACTTCCAACATCTCTTCCTAATTTCCTCCCCAGCTGGAAGTTGGTATGTTCTCTCACACAGTAGGCTGTTGCTGATGGCATCTGGCCAACAGACATTGAGTATCTTGAGTAGACAACTATTTATAAATACTTGTACCTTCTTGATGATGGTTGTGGTAGTTCTCGAAGTTTCAACTCCGTACGGCAGAACTGTCTTGACGTAAGTATTGAAGATTATGACCTTGATATTGATTGACAGTTGTTTTGACTCGCATATGTTCTTCAACTGTAGGAATACTGTCCTAGCTTTTCCAATCATCGCCTTCACTTCTGCATCTGATCCTCCTTCTTCATCGATGATGCTGCCAACCAGGTATGTGAAATCTTCCACCTCTTCCAGAGATTCTCCACCAAGTGTGATTAGGTTGGTGTTCTCCGTGTTGTATTTGAGGGTGTTGCTTTCCCCCTTGTGTATGTTGAGGCATGCTACTGCAGAGGCTTCTGCTACACTAGTTGTCTTCATCTGTATTTGTTTGTGTGTACATGATAGAAGGACTAGGTCATCTGTGAAGTCCAAATCTTCTAATTGGTTCTGATCTGTCCATTGTATGTCGTGTTTTCCCTCACATGTTGAGGTCTTTATAATCCGGTCGACCACCAGAAGAAAGAGGAAGGGAGAGAGTAGACAGCCTTGTCAGACTCCGGTCTCTACTTGGAATACATCTGTCAGCTGTCCTTCATGTACCACTTTGCACTCTAGTCCGTCGTATGAGTTCCGGATAATGTTGACAATCTTCTCAGGTACTCCATAGTGTCGAATAAGTTTTCATAACGTTCTCCTGTCTACACTGTCTAACGCTTTTTCATAATCAATGAAGTTGATGTAAAGTGATAAGTTCCACTCAACTGATTTGTCGAACGATCATCCGTAGTGACGCAATTCGGTATGCGCACGACCGATCCATACGGAATCCAGACTGTTGATCTCGAAGTTGGGCGTCTACTGAGTCTATCATCTGGTTCAGCATCACTGTTCAAAACCTTTCCTAGTATTGACAGTAATTTGATGCCTCCATAGTTTTCACATTTGCTCAGATCTTCTGTCTTTGGAATCTTGATGAGGTGTTCTCCTTTCCAGTCCGTCGGCACTTGTTCCTGCTCGCAAATCTTTTTGAATAGAAGGTGAAGCATGTTTGTAGTTACTTCTATGTCTGACTTCAGTGGTTCGGCTGGTATATCGTCGGGTCTTGTTGCTTTCCCATTCTTGATTTGTCTGCTGACCATCCTAATTTCTTCGATCGTTGGTGGAGTGACATCTATAGAAAGGTCTGTTGTTAATTGCCGTCTTCTTGTTCTCCCTTTCTTTGATCTTGTCCAGTGTTTCTATAGTGATCCATTCCTCGTGGTGATGCTTCTTGAGGCCCAGAACCTCTTGACACGTTGAAGTTATTGCTTCTTTGATACCTTTCCAGTTGTCCTCTATAGTAGTTTCTTCTTTCAGTAGATCCTATAGGGCTTATCGTCGTCATTGCTATCATTGGTGGTTACACAACATTAGACAATATTCATTGTAATTCCCTCCTTTGTTTTGAATGATGCTTTGATGATCTTCAATCCGTGAGATTCCCAACCTACAACTGCATTTCGTGCTACTTTGGAGAGCGTTGGAGCAACTCCCTGAGTGTGTGGAGCATTTTCCTCTTGGTGACTGGAGTGCAGCAGCATCTCTCCCGTATCTAGCCTTTGTTGTCCAGCTTGGGTCCAATGGGTTTCGTGGATTCCCAGTACTGCCAATTTGTATCTCCTCATTTCCGTTGCTATTTGACTGGTCTTCCTGGTCCCACACACTTTTTGAGCGAGTTAGTTTTCTACAGGATGGGTTCGCTAACCCCATACTCAAGCCTCCTTCTTTACCCGGGCTTGTGACCGGCAGTAACTTTATAAGTGCTACAAGCGGAGTTGATTTCGAAAAAGCATCAACTGATTAACATTTGTTTACATGTTAGCCAGATTTATCACTGAAAATCAAACTGTAACGACTACCCAACCCATGCGAAGTCATGTTATAAATCTTCGTACCAATCATCATCATATCCTATTATTACTATTTTTTAACTCGATCTGTTTATTTAAAATAAAAACTTTATATTAATGAGAGAATGAGTCCACGTAACTCTTCTCTGTAATATAAGCAAAAATACATGATGGCGAACAGTGGAATCCAGGACGCGTTTTTCGTTCTATTCTAAGACTCATCAACTGGATGTACCTGAGTCCAACATTTATTCACTCTGGGACTCAAACGTAGTACCGACTGCTTTAATTCCACATAGGATGCCTATATACCAATAAGAAATTAATCAATCTCACTCCTAAACATCAATGAAAAGATTCAAACAATCATTTCATTTAATTACTGAAATTATTATCTTCAATTTCCTTATAAAAAAACAACAGCAATGATAACCTATTTATTATTTAAATAATTTTTTAATCTTTTAAATATACATTAATACTTATTTTATTTTATATGATAATCAGTAGTAAAACTATTCAGAGGTTTATTCTTTTGTTTTTGGAACGAACTCATAGTTTACTTGTTCTAAATCGTTTTTCTTTTTCTTTTTTTTCAAAACAAGATTCACTTGCGTTCTAATTTTTTTCAAATTCCAGTTCATTATAAAATTAATAGTTAGTTTTTCATTTTACTAACTATTTGTTTTGTTTTTCTTTTTTTTCTTTTTTTTAACTTTGTTATTGTCATTAGTCAACTAATTTCGATTTATCTTCAAGTCCAATCTATCTTGGTGGATATAATTTTCATGATCAAACAACTTTAAATTATATACCGATTAAAAATGGTTTACATGGAACGATTCAAAGAGTTAGTCTAGTTTATTTTATCGATTGTACATGGTTATGAATATTTAAAAAAAAACGATTTAATTCTTTTTGTAAATATATAATTTTGATTCTGATTAAATCAAGATCATTGAGGAATAACTTCTTTTGAAATTCAGAATATGTACTTTGTTTTTTTCTATTTTCAAGACGTAAACACATCATATCTATCCAGTATTAAATAAAGAGGATTTATCAGTATAAGGTTGTGGAAATTGTTGAGTTTTGATTGAGATCATGAATCGATGGTGGTGGTCTAACATTGATCGATTCATGATCTCAATCAAAACTCAACAGTTTCCATAACCATATACTGATAATTATCATTTTCTCACTAGTGACTAGCTTGGAAGGGTAATTCTGGGAGTTCTAGTGAGAAGCCAAGACCAGTGGAGTTCAACCGTGTCTGTTGTGAGGCAGTTACTCACTGAAGACAATGGTGGACGGTCGTAAAATATCGTGGACTGGTTGAAAAAAGACATTAGCACCGCCGGATGCCGACCCAGTGGTCTAGAAGTTAAGCGTTCGTGTGGATGACCGAGGATGTTGGGTTTGATTTTTGCGTGTGAGATCGTGGGCTCACACTACTAAGGATTCCCATACTTGGATGAAACGGCCGTTCAGTTCTTCAATGTTTTCAATGATGGTCTAACATTGATCGATTTATGATCTCAATCAAAAAAGAGGATTTAGGTTACTCAAACTATTCTGAAAACTAAATAACTATATATACAGTATTTTATCGATCTTCTACATGAATAAAATCACACCAACCAGAAGAAAATCATGTGTATACCAAACTTTTGAAATCTAATCGATGTTGTATTCCCACTACTAAAACCTTTTTAATTAGTAAAGTGAAAAATTATACAAAAAGATACGTTTTGTTCAAGTCCTAATTGACACATTACCAGAACTTAAATTTTACTTGGCGAAAGTTTCTATATTAACTTAAATACTATTTCAAGCATAACTCTATCTTATCATATCGATTGTACTACTATTTTCAAGTAGATCATTAAAAGTACTAATGTGTAAATACGAATAATTACTAGGGGTAAAGTTTAAATAATACATTTTCGATGGTTACTATCAGCACATAATTAAAATATTTTACCTAAAATCCTCTTTCTCTGTCTTTTGATAAAAACGGACTATTTAAAAGTATCATTTCATTTCACGGAATCATTCATCATTATAACAAATAAACAGGTTTTACATAATGATGTTTTTACTGTGCATACTATCCAGAACTCAATTAAAGATTCGCAATCCAAACATGTGGTTCAGATAACTTACTAATAACGAAACTTATGTTATTGTTTTATTTTCTAATAGATAAGGAAGTTTAATCCTAGTAATCTTTAGGGTTTCAGAGTGATAAATACCAATAAGCTTTTACTGAATATTTGAATCTTATGAAATTAGGTTTTAATAGATTGCATACAGTTCAAAATTCCAGTTGACAATAGATAATGCATTCGTATTTTATCCAATTAATTATTAAGGGATAATAAAAGAATTTCTTCAGACAGTCAACTGACCGAGATATATTATAGAGACGAATAAATCGGAAATAAGACAATCCCTGTTGACTATTTGGGTAACACTCAAAAAACTGATCGATTTTAGTAATCACCATACTGAATGTTCTATAGAATGTACCCTTATTCAGTGCGTAAATAGCTTTGGATTAGTGAACAAAAGTCTGGTAACCGCTCATCTAGGGAAAATAATAGTGTGGGAAAATTTATATGAGAATCTTATTACTTCCGATTCACATTCCATCTAAAATACAACTCTAACAAGAAGTTTTTCCTTCCTTTTTATTTAAAGTAATCTCTCAACTGAATCACATCATTACTGATAGTGAGAGTAGTAACCATTCATGTGCCATACAAATTCCTGAAAACATTGGGATCTCTAATCGTACAGTACTCATATAAGTAGTACATAAACTGACATTTGGCCAAATTTTAGCTGGTTTTCAAATAAATATTCTACAAACTATGATACATTCTTTACAGAAGTTTCCGTACAACTAGAAACAAATCTAAATATACACAATGTTCTTGTAATCGTGATCTCTACTTATACACATCATGTACATTTAGGTTTGATCAAATTTAAGTGATAGATTCCAGATTTTAAAGCCTATATAATTATTGGCTTAAACTGCAATTAAAATATCCAAGGTCATCATTTAAGGTAGTCATTCTGATGAAGCTTAGCCCAGCACATTTTAAGGAAAAACTTGTTGTGGAACCAGTCTAATATCTTGTTTCTGCTAATATTTCTAATTATTTTAAAATTTAAAAGAAACTTAGTATCCTTTTAAGCCCAAAAGGTATGGGAAATGTACCGGATTTTGTTTAAAATCATGAAACGACTAATGTTAGACCACTGTTCAGAACGTGGAGTCGCTGGATGGTCGTTTCATTCTAGTATGCGACTCTTTGGCAGTGCTCATCCACGACAACACATGTAGAACTCAAACCCAGAGCCTTTGATTTCGCTCGAACGTCTAACTTCTAAACCACTAGGCCGGTATTCAACGGCGGAAGTCAGATATTACCAGTAGTTTAATAGTTAAGAGTTCGAGCGAAATCAAAGGCTCTGGGTTTGAGTTCTACATGTGTTGTCGTGAATGAGCACTGCCAAGGAGTCGCATACTAGAATGAAACGACCGTCCAGCGATTCCACGTTCCTAACGGTAGTCTAACATTAGTTATTTCATGGTTCAGTGAAATTCAACAATCTTCACAACCCTATACTGAAAACGTACTGAATTGTGTACTGCATAGACTGATGTGGCTATCAGTCATTATAATGAGTGAATTAGTGTAATGATCAATCTTGTCATAAGTCGTTGAGTGGGTTTATATTAGACCAAAAAATTAATGAGATGGGACACACATACATTCAAACAATCACAGGTATGCAAACTGTACGTGAATAAAAACTCCTAAACAAGTATAGAATAATTAATAGGATTAAAATGACTCATTTAACTGTTATATGAGAATCCCACTTTAAACCTTTTCAAAACAACTTAAACTTACGTAGTTTTATGCTGATTATGTTCCAGACAAGCGATATGAACCTGTTACATCAGTTTACTAGGATTATTCTCTCGAACTGTCTTCAATGTTTTTTCTTTTCGTTTTTTAATGAATCATAGATTAACATAAATGAGGCAGAAGTTGTACTGGCAGGTCCATCTCCTGCAGATATGATGAATACACCAGAGGAACAAGGTAAATTACCACATTTATTCGAAAAATGGGCAAATATATCTCAATGGCAAGGTTTACCATGTGGTCCACGATATTCACCATGCCAATTGGATCAACCAGATAGTATATGTCGTCCAAATATTGAGCATGCTACATGTGCTTGTACAACACCATTACAACTGATGCATCTTATGAAAGAACGATTAGATGAAGAAACTGATGAAGTTGAGCAACAAGCTTGTTTACAACGAAAAGTAAGTTGTTTATTTGGTAATTATTTTATAATCCATCTTTGCTTAGAATGCTTGTGACCTAAGACAATATCAAGGCAGTCCTAACAGGATGCAAATATGTCAACAAGTGACTGATAAAAATTTCAACTTTTCAATAGTCTATGTATACTCGTAAGCTTATTTAGTTCTGAACGTATCCTTATTTACTGATGTAACAAACTACATATTGTTATGTGGAGAACTGTAAAAATGCAGGAACCTCCAAACTACTATATATATATATATATATATATATATATAAATTCATGGCTCGCACTAAAGAATCTACTTAATCTTACCTTGACATTGTATATCTATTCCTAAATAATTTAAATGCCTTTTCATGTTACAGAATTTTAGGTCTATAGATAATACTTCTGATTGAATACTGTCTAGGATGACAGTAGAAAAATCACAATCCACTAGAAATTTCGTTTCAAGTATTTGTTCATAAAGTCCTTTGATCAGTTAGACTCTTGTGCATTTTTTGTTTCCTTTGTATTTGATAAGCATAATTTACGAGCAAATCATTTAAATTCTCAAGATATCCCTCAAAAGTATGTAGTATTTATGAAATATTTCTTTTGAGTCCCATGATGTCCGTTTAAAGGGGTTTTACCAATTGATTTCATTCCATTTTCATAGAGAGATTTATATAAAATTTAAAATAATGAACTGAACAAAATTATAATAAGAGAGAAGAATGTATTTGTTAAGTCCCGATGAATAGAAAATTAGATCGTTGATGTTTTACAAATTAGTGTAAGTAATTTCTTCAGAGAATAAAATTAAATAACAAATTTAATAGACACAGGTTTACAAAGTACAAAAGACAAAGCATATTTTCCGTACAATCAAAATTAACACCGATTTGATCAAGTCAATGTCCTGTTATCTCAGTCGAACCGATTCTATGTGAGACTTGTGTGTGTGTGTGTTAGTGGATGAGGAAAATGTGATATTTATAATTTGAAAGGGTAAGGTTTAGAATATTAGTTTTTTATTAGTGGTATGGAATGTGAACAGGATTGAATGTGTGGATATTTGTATAAATGGTTCATGTTGGATGAATCATTAACCATTTCTTTATATGAAGCATAGTAGAGTCTGCAGCTACTTGTCCTTCTTTATAATCAGAAAATCCTTTTTTGAATTGTTTAGTTATGATTAGTCTTGACTTGATGGTTATTAAAAATAGTACGTACTGGTTGTTCTGGAGTGATTTGTAGATTTTCTAGTTCCACGAAATTATTTGTAGGTCTTTATGCGTAGCTTAGATGTTCTTTGGCACGAGTCGTGATTTTATAAGAAGACTCTTTAATATAAAATGCATCATAATCTTTGCATACTGGTCTGTGGATATTTTTTAGCCTAAGATGAGAACTATAGTGTTATGTCGATTGAGCTGGATGATATAGTTATCTTTCTTCGTGTAATAGCGGTGTTTCAAGGTGTCTTCAATCTTTTGAACATAGTTTGTATGTAGTTTAACATATGCGTTATTGCTATTGTGATTGAGTATTTATTCCGTATATGTTTTTCTGTATCGGTTCTGGTGATGAATACATCCAGGAACTGTAGTTTGTTGCCTGATTCCAATTCTAATACAAACTTTATTTCATTGAAGTTACTATTGATCGAATTGTAAGTATATTGCAGCTAATCCATCTTGACGACGAAGAATGTGTCGTCTAAATAGCACATCGCATTGTTTGGTTTGATCATAAATACGATTGGAGCTTCCACCTTTCCTTTTACTGTTTATGCGATTAATTTAGATATCGATTATCTTATTGGAGTTCGATTAAATTCAAACAAAACGATACATCCAAAACATAAAAAACATTATTGTCTACAAGTGAATCTATCGATTGTTAAATTGACTGTATTTTGACTAATGATCAGTAATAAAATCCAGCACGAATTTGTCACCTTATTTTTCATTTATTAACTGGACGTTACTGTACACTGAAACCATTAGAATAAATAATTTCTTATTAGGATCCTCTGCTTGAATCATTCAGAGAATACATTTAGTAGGATCCTGGTTTAATATATGATTGTGTGAGCATACTGGTTTCTAGATCGTGATCACTGTTACTTAATCGAATTAAAACGTTCAAATTTCTAAAATGTTAGGTAGCTTTTCCATGATGTAAGTGTATCTTACCTTTTTTGCTAATACCAGATGGAACTATCTAGGTTAAATTTGGCATTATCGTCCAGAAATGACGGTCAGTTACAATACGATGGTCCAAATCGTGCACCTTCAAGAGAAATATACAATGAACCAGATGAAGAACTACCACCAGTTGATCCAGCAAGACAGATTTCAATCAACTTCGGTGGTTCAACAGTTTATACATACCGTGGACTTATAAGATTCACGTAAGTATTTATTTTACCCATAATCATGTATTATAACTCTACACCCAAGTAGTTAATTTTCGGTTATTTGGTTAGATATTAGGAAGAAAGAATTGGACAAGTTTATTGATATCACGAACCAACCTAAGCTAGATAATATGTGATTTGTTCACCAGAAACTGGCGTCAAGGAGAAATTTCCGGAGTTTGGTGGGAATCCATGACCAGTGGACTTTAACTATAAGTGGTTTCTGGGAAGTGCACACTGAAGACAATGGAAGATGGGACCACAGTATGGCGAATTCGTTGAAGTTAGACTTTTTCACCATCTAATGCCAGCTAAGTGATCTGAACGTTAAACGTTTGGGGACAAGATCGAAGGTATAAAAGATAAAATACCGATGGATTTACTGTCTAATTGTGCCTATAAAATAAAATATTCAAATTGTGACTCAATATTCATCAGAAAAGCTTCTCCAGGAATCAATATGTTGTTTGTTCACCGAAAAACTCAGTAGAACTCAGGAAATGCTTGGCCATAGGTCTACAGGCTGTACTACTAGGCCATAAGCTTGAGTTAACAATATTAAAATCGTTCAGCAAAATTTTAAAAGACGTAGAGAATAGCTCATGAGCAGTACACTTCACATTAAATGGAATTTGAATTGTCTGATAATGAATGAGAGGAAATGAAATTCAATTTGACTTCAGCACGATCCTCCCACAGATCGACAATGTAAACATAAATGTGAGAAGAATTTCTCATCAAACAAACATATTCTGACTTGAGAACGTATACGCCTATTGAATCAGACAATGTAGCCAGCGCTCACTTTCAACTCGAATACGGGAACATGTCCCAATGTGATTATACAAGGGTGAGAGGAAAGCAGTTAGGAGTTCCGTACTTGAACATCTAATCGACTGTAGTCATTCTATTGATCAACAGTTTGATTTTAAGGTTGTATATACGATTCATTCAAACCTACATAGATTTATTTGTATCTAAGTCCTAAAAATAGCCGAAGCTCTTACTATTCATGAGGTCAAGCCAGAACTATACGTACGAAAGAAGTATGTTCTAACGTTATCGTTACCTTGGTCTTTATTATTATTATTATTTCATTTCTTCCTTAATTTATGTCACATATTCTCATTGTTATTATTCATATTAGGTGATCTAGTATTATAATCTTTCTATATGAATCATCTTGGTTATTCCTTTTTCACATTTCCTCACGGAACTAGTACTTTAACAATCTACATGTGTCTGCTAACCATATTTATCTATTTCCTCAACAACATAGTATTATTCGTAGAGATAAACCTTTACCAATTTACCATATATGTGCTAAAATTTTTATAAATTCGTGTTCATTATTACTTTGACAAAGGTATTTGCATTGAATGAAGATATGTCAAAGAGATAGTGACTCACTGATGACAAAAGTAGACGGTTACGTAACTTCGTGGATTAGTTAGACATTAGTTAAACATTAACACCGTTGAATTCCAGTTAAGTGGTCTAGAGGTTAAGCACTCGCGCGCGAGATTGATAGGTCCTGGGTTTGAATCTCGAGAGGTGGAATAGTGGATGCGCACTTCTGAGGGGTCCCATACTAGGACGAAACGCCCGTCCAGATTTTCCATGGTGGTTTAACTTCAATTGACTCATGAATGTAACCATTAAAATAAAATATATCGTTTTATTTTTACACTCATTAGAAAGTATAAATTTCCAATGATAATAACGAATTTCATTTTACGTTTTTCAAATTTTCTTTATTTTTTTTTTGTATATATTGTACTATAAAAAACAAGGGCAGATTTTAATATTCGTCTCCGTCTACGCACAAATAAAATGGATGGCTTAATTTTACTAATGGTTGAACAAGATTCATTGAATCATCAACATAATCTATCATCATCATCATTAATTTTAAATCAACCTGTAACACAGATTACAACTAATTCAGAATTTGTATCAATCGTATTACGTAATGGTCGTGTTGAATTATTACTGAATTTAGTTACATCAAGAAAAAAGAAAGATAAATCTTGGAATATAAATAATAATGAAAATGATAATCCAATATTCAATCGTCTCATGCCTATTCAAGCAAGACATAAAGTAGACGATGGTGAATGGCATATGATACAAGCTATGGGGTTAGAAAATAAAATATATTGCTATTTTAAATCGTGTTATTTATATTTTATAAAGTGATTTTTTATAAGTAAATTGTATTTTGATATGTTAGGTGGCTGAAACATTTCATGATACTTCATACTTATCAGAAAGGCCTATTTTTAATCTTATAGGAACTGGTGATCCCTTTACTGTGTAAACTCATGTCACTACGTAGCTTTATATGTTTTAAGTGGAATGTTACAGGCTACCTCTTACTTACTGACAATATAATTTCATATATATATATATATATATATATATATATATATATATATATATATATATATATATATATATAGGCGGTCTGCTTGAATATCTATGCTACCTGTTCCTAACATCTAGATATTTCAATAAGTTATCTGTTTTTGCTTGTTTTAACACATCATTGTTTGTTAAACGCACAATCTATTAAAGTACGTTTATGAACATTTTCCAACCTTCCACTGTACAAGTTAGGAAAGAGCACAATCAGAGACATTGTGGTTGCTGGCAATATACATCGAAAAGAATATAAATTATTCAGATGTTGATTCCTGAACTGCTAACATCCAATTGGCGATCATTCAACATTTATCGTCAGGATCGATCAAGACATAAGAAACGGAAGCTTTTTGAAATACTTTGCTTCAAGAATTCTATATTGTACCAAAAATATACTACTGAACAAAGCTAACAATTATAATCACTGTCAATGATGTTACCAATGAACTCTTCAGGTAGTATTTGACCTCCATTAGGACTGATATATTTTCACGTACATAATTGCTGAAAAGATTAACAGCAGATGAAACAGTATCTTCTGTATGATTGACCTACGTAAACCGATCATTTTTGTGTTATCTTCCTACAATTCAAGAGTGTTATTGAGTACTGTACAGTATTTTGCATGAGTTTCCTGCAAAGATTTCAATAAATTTGCAGTTAGATTTCAGGTGTTGTGGATACTATTAGTGTCACCCTACAAAAATGACGAAGTATATATGTACATTGAAACTGTTTTCCGAGTTATCTCTGACCAGTGTTTCAGTATCAAAATAGATCACCCTAAAACTATAGATTCTTCAATATTGTAGGTGTTTGTAACTAAAATACTAAACTAAACTTAACTTCACTAACTAAGTTTAACAGAAACTACAGGTGGTGTTCATTTTTACGTACACGATTTCGTGTGTCCAAGTTCACCGAGTAGGAAATCATTTAATAGAATTGCCTAATATTTTTCAATACTTAGCACATATTTCATGCATCCTGATCTCTCGATAAATTTAAATAAAGCTAGAAGAACAAGATTTGCAAAATAACATCTATTAGTGATACTTCAAAGGTTCTGATTGGTTAATGTATGTTTATCGATCGAATAAGAGATAAGTTTCGATAGATTCGATAGCTTCATTTTTTTGGTGGAATGTCGCAGACTACCTCTTACTAACTGACAATACAACTTTAAATTGAGAGTGGTTTTTTTTATTTCCATTGGCTGGTTGCTTTTGTAACTTTGAGATTAAATTATTCACTTTCTTTTGATTGAACAAACATTTTCTCACCCTGAACTGATGACTTGAATTTTTTGTTTCGCCCGTAACTATCATAATCTGTAATAATACAGTGATCTAATATGAACGTACATATCAATCTCGATAATAATGATGATCTGATCATTAAAAACCGACTTGAATCAACACCTCTGAGAACCATTTGTTGCATATCGAAAACACAAAGTTCAGCGAAGGGATAACTTTTCAGCGAGTTCACTATAAAGCTGTACAAATATATTTTATACGAATATTCGTCAATATTAGAACGAATAGTTTTTTTTGTTGAAAATCAAGCGCCGAGTATAAAGAAGACATCATGTATGAAAATTATATGTGAAATAATCTCAGCGATTGAGACATAAATAATTCCAACGTTCCGTCCAGCAAATATGTCTGGACTTTTTCAGGGTAATAATCAAAATTACCAAAGAATATATAATATTTAATAATTGAACCAAATCTATGCTGTGCTTGCCCAGTCATATTCAGATGTTGACTTCAGTTATATGCTCGTATATACACGATTGCAAAGCTTAGTGGTAAATTCGTTACAAAGGAATCCATACTTTAAATTTTAAGTTTTTAATGTTGGTCTCGTACCGGTTATGACACATGATTAGAAGTCTCTGATGAAGTTCGGGAACTTATTTATGAAATTAAATTTAACTGCTTAGGATCGTTAAATCTACTTTCTAAACTAGTGTATGGAAAATCTTTAAATAATAGTTTTTACAAAATCAATTAAAATTTAATTTTTTCTACGGTATCTCAAATGTTAATAAATTAGCTACATATTAATGCTTTCTTCAAACATGGTTCTCTGTTGCAGCTTAGAAATCTAAAGTTAAGGTTCTGATAAATAACTTAGTCACACGCTATCAAACTACAAAATATATGGACCCACTCAGATCGAAAAATTTAATACCACCAACCATTTCCTGTGAAGTAAACTGAAATGGTACAAAAAGTTACAATTTCGGGAAACTTTGAAGTAGATGAATTACCGTTTTCATAAAATTTAAGGATGTGTTGTTCCACTGTAACAAGCAGTATATTAAAATGTATTCAAAAAGCTTAAGCTACTAACTAAAGTAACAGTAGTACATTTAATTTAGAAACAATGTGTTCGCATGATATTACTTCATCTGTCATTTATATTACTTGTCATTAAATTTCAAAATTTTGTCCTCTCTTTACAGGAATAAACAACGAGCAACATTATTCGTTGACAATCATATGGTTTCTGGTGAATTCACAGGTATTTCAGATTACAATACTCCCCCGGTGAGAGATGTCTATCTCGGTGAGTCACTAATAATCTCCTCCTTGAAAAATAAATTGCTAATTCTTAGTTACACTATGAAATAGCCACAAGTTACACTTAGGGAAACTTGATATTTGAACATATAGTTTCTAGCGTTAAACTATAGGAGCTTAAGAAAGTCTTACTCTTATAAAAGTCATACATTCATATGAACATTTCTTCGTGTATCACTTAATTAATTTATTATTTCCGTAGTCCGAACTACTTGTTATTGTGGATTCTATCATCAAATGGTAGCAACTAACAACCAAAACTATGTCTCAGAGATTCCTTACACTCTTTAGCATTCCTAATTAATTTCTCCCGGTAAATTCATGTGTGGAAATCAATCCCATACTGTTCTGTAGTGTAGTTCAAGAAGTCAACTATGAAAGTATCTATGGTCAACATAAAACTCTTAAACTACTACTTCTAAATAAACGGATATTTCAGCATATGCTTTCTTTAATGTGTCATGGTACCTAATAACCATCAATAAGTAAAAATATAAGTGTAATGACTAATTGCGTTTACTTTTTAATCGATAACTAAACTCATCTGAACAAAATAAAATCATTTTCTACATTTCAGTAAATTTCATAAACTACAGCATTAAATGGGGTACAGGCAAAGATCTAACTACTCAAACTACAAATGTAAACTTTAAAAACCTAGCAACGCTGAACTACTAATTCATTCTAGTTTAGAACTCATCAGTAGTTTGCACCGACGTTCCTACATATACTCGAGTATACAATCATAAAAAGAATTTACAAAGTAAAGCAAAAAAGTTGCCTGTTGATATCTCAAACATTAGTTTGAGATAAAGTATGATAAACAAAAAGGGTAGTGAAACCAGAACACAACATCTGTTTAGGAAGTAATTAAGTGTTTGTCTAAAACTAAGAGAAACGAAAAACCCTCTTAGCTTAAATCCATCTAACAATTATGGTAAGTGACTGGAAAATGTAGGTTATGTTTCAAAACTTATCACAATGGTCTAGACGTAAGGCTATGGACTTCTGATCAAGCTAATGACAATCTTATTTATATCTAAAATAAACTTGATACAAATAGTTTAAGAGTACATATCGTCAAGCAACTTCAAACCAGTTCCAACCTTTTGATTGTCAACTACTTTCTCCAACTATTTTATTTTAATTTGATCAGATCATACTATTTCACGCGAGTAATCCTTCTCACTTCAAAAAATCCTGATAATCATTATTGGTGAATTCATTTATACTGATTGTATGAAATTTCCCGTTGATGTTATGAATTGAAAGTTATAAGCCAGTCGAGAACACATTATGCGTCTGAAGCTAGAACCGAGTCCCTGTATGATCATCAACACTAAAACCCAGGTACATTCACTTAAGGGTTCCCAAAAAGGAAAAAACTCTCATCCTATATCTTAACACCAGCCATTATTCAATTATATTTATAAACATTACTTTTAAATCCTCATTTTTCTCTATTTTCCTCTATTAGGTGGGACACTATTTAGTATTCTTGGACTATCAATTGATTATCAACAAAATTTCACTGGTTGCATTGCTGATATGCTTATTCAAGAGAAAATTATACCAATCTTATCAGAAGCAACAGAAATACACGGTCCTATTGAAAGATGTAAAACACCATGAAATAAATAATATAAACAAATATATTCTACTGATGAGTTTAATAGGGAAAATTAAGACTTATATAATCAATTATTTAGGTTGAATTTTATTTATTTATTTCTTTATTTGTAAATGAAAATGAACCTACAAATATAAAAAGAATCCTTTGTGTTGTATAAATAAATAAATAAATAAATAAACACACTAATTATTTATTCATTTTAATAAAGTATGATGCTTAGGTAAAATACCAACTCATATTTTATTTATATCTTCAAGAAAATAATCAATAATTTCCTTTCATTTATTCGCCCAATTATTTTATTTTCCTCTTTTTCCCTCCCTCTCTCTATCTCTCTCTGTAGTTCAATAATGGTTATCTTTCATTGGTTATTTTATTCTTTTTTGTTTTATTTTAAATTTCATCTATCCACTTTTGTTGTAGTTATTGTAGTAGTAGTTGTTGTTATTGTTATTGCTCAAATTTCAATGTTACAAATAATTCATTGAACTCTTGAATCTTCTACTAATCCATTTCTAAACACTAAATATTAAAAAATATTAATTGATTTTTTGTTTTATTTTATTTTAAATAAAATTGGATTTTTCAATATTTCGATGGATACAAATAAAAATAAAATGTATTATGTAATGAATTTGTTTAAGTTATGCAATCACTCATTGTCATATATATATATATATATATATATATATATATATATATTGATTTTTTTATAGGAAGAAAATTTTTATAAAACATTCATATAACGCACAAATACTGTATTTGAACATTTGCACAGAGATATTTCTATTATCAAATTGTATATTATTATAAATCAGTTTACTTTATCATAATACTTGGCATAAATATACCATATACCCTATTTTACATATGAATTGCATAGATTTTAATATCCTTAATATCATATTCATGATCATAACAAACAATTTTTCAAAAAAAGATTCAATCTCATGTTATTTATCGAAGGTTACATAAAAAAACTACATATTGTAGTGAACAGGACACGGGTGGGGAGCAATCGAATGGTCTTAATAAAATCTAACAACCATATATTAAATGCTCAATTTGCAAAATGTCCATCAGTTGTCTAAAAACGACTCAGACTTCATTGTTCCTGCATTTTCATACAAACTGCATTCTGTCTTCATTCTTTACTGTTCGATCTTCTTGTCTCTCTGCTGCCAGACATTCTGTTCACGACTAACATCACATACTACTAATGTCTACATAAGTAGCACACACCACACATATAAGTAATACATTTTACTAAACATTTTAGTTCTAGAGGTTTTCAACTTATTTATTTGGTAAACAAACAAACAAACAAAAAAGTGTAATGGGCGAAAACATTTCTACTATTGATTTGTTTTTGACTGTAATGATACTATACTCAGATTTTGTTTTACAAATTATCATGCAATATATATCAATCAAATTATGACTTAACTAATTAATAACATTTGAAATACAAACATCAACAATAGTTAAGTATGGAAATAAGAAATGATTAGTGTTGTTTGATACAGATGACAGTTTATTTGGAAGTTCTTTAGACCCATTGAATAAACTGATACTTACATACGCCTGTTATCCATCATGGAAGAGCATAGACCACTCACTAGCATTCTACACCCAACTCTGTTCTGGGCATTCCTTTCCAGCTCTTTCCAGTTGTTTTTCATCCTTTTCACATCTGCTTCTATTTCCCGACGTAATATGTTCTTTGGACTTCCTCTTTTCCGCTTCCCTTCAGGATTCCAACTTACGGCTTGCCTCGTGATGCAGTCTGGTGATTTCTACTATGTATATCCTATCCACTTCCAACATCTCTTCCTAATTTCCTCCCCAGCTGGAAGTTGGTATGTTCTCTCACACAGTAGGCTGTTGCTGATGGCATCTGGCCAACAGACATTGAGTATCTTGAGTAGACAACTATTTATAAATACTTGTACCTTCTTGATGATGGTTGTGGTAGTTCTCGAAGTTTCAACTCCGTACGGCAGAACTGTCTTGACGTAAGTATTGAAGATTATGACCTTGATATTGATTGACAGTTGTTTTGACTCGCATATGTTCTTCAACTGTAGGAATACTGTCCTAGCTTTTCCAATCATCGCCTTCACTTCTGCATCTGATCCTCCTTCTTCATCGATGATGCTGCCAACCAGGTATGTGAAATCTTCCACCTCTTCCAGAGATTCTCCACCAAGTGTGATTAGGTTGGTGTTCTCCGTGTTGTATTTGAGGGTGTTGCTTTCCCCCTTGTGTATGTTGAGGCATGCTACTGCAGAGGCTTCTGCTACACTAGTTGTCTTCATCTGTATTTGTTTGTGTGTACATGATAGAAGGACTAGGTCATCTGTGAAGTCCAAATCTTCTAATTGGTTCTGATCTGTCCATTGTATGTCGTGTTTTCCCTCACATGTTGAGGTCTTTATAATCCGGTCGACCACCAGAAGAAAGAGGAAGGGAGAGAGTAGACATCCTTGTTTGACTCCGATCCTCACTTGAAAGTTGTCTGTCATCTGTCCTCCATTCATGACCCTGCAGTTTATCCCATTGTATAAATTGCGTATGATTATGACGATCTTCACACGTACACCACAGTTTTGAGGAAGTCTCCATAATATTCTCTTAATTACACTGTCAAATTCTTTCTTATAGTGAAGGAAGTTGATGCATAGTGATGAATTCAACTCAATTGATTGCTCAACAATAACACCAGATAACATTCATTATGATCCCGTCCTTCTTTGTTTTGAATGATGCTTTGACGATTCTGGATCCATGAGACTCCCATTCTGTGAGTGCTTTTCATGCTTCTTTGAACAGCATCGGTGTAACCCCTTGTGTGCGTGCAGCATTTCCTTCTTGTGATCAGAGTACGGAAGCATCTCTTCCGAATTTATCCTTTTCTGTCCAGTTAGGTCCAATGTGTTTCAATTATTCCGAGCATCACCGAATTGAATCTCCTCATTTCCGTAACTATTTGATTAATCCTCTTAGTCTGCTAGATTGTCGTCTAATTGGTTCTGAGCTGTTCATTGTATTCCGTTTTTACAATGAACAGTTCAAAACGCTAACCAGAATAAACTGTTAGATAATAATAAAGGTGAGATCAAGAACAGAATTACTGAAGCCGGTTGTACATATTTCGACTGAACGAAAACATCCGGTATTTTATGTTAGAGAGCGATAACTTCAGTCGTGTTCAATAGACGCATACGTAAACTATTGAGAAAACTAAAATAAATCACTTGAAATGCCTCATATAAATCCATTCGGTGTTCATTGTCTATCCAGTTTATGGTAGTAGACAGATTTGACTGTATGTTCAAGCTATCTGAGGTGCTCTTGTAGGAAATCTTTTACGGTGTTAAGGAATTTTTCGAGTCTAGCTTTCAACGGTCTCGTTTAATGAATGATGAAAATCAATGTAAACTATATCAATCATTGAATACATAACGTTAGTTTGGGTCTAAATGGTTGGATTTAAGAACAGTCCTGGTCTTCCCTTGTGAAACCTGACTTTAATCTGAGGATGTCTAATTACTCCGTATGTTAACTCTTTGTTGTTTCAAAGGATTTTCCACATCCGGTAGAAACACGGTGTAACAGTCTCATGATCTGCTTACACATATTGATTATTCTATGGGTGTAATCGCCCTGAAGTACCAGTTCAGTCGTATTTTACGAATATTAATTCAGGGAATCCCATATCTCAGACTGTTTTCGACACTGTGGAAAACAGAACAAACGGTCACTTCGTGACACCGCCTATGTGATCTACCCTATCCAAATGGTTCATAGCATTATCATTTCACGATTTGTAGCTAACTTGTCGGTCCTATTTTGTATTGTTTCTTGTTAGTGTTATGATAACACAATGGTTCTGGATGCATAGGATAGAGTGAAGGAAAAGGAAAAATCGCCACTCGTTGGCTAATAACAGTTATCTGGATTGAATACTTAAGATTATTAGATTAAGATCATCTTATCAGAAATGACTCGAAATCGAAGTGATTAATGACCACACCTTAATTTCTTTGCATATTCTTCATGAATGAGCCGTGTTAGTGAGAGAAAACAAATCTACCTAATTTCGCTCTTTGATATTCTTGTTTTTATCATTATATCATTCCAGATCGATCGTTTCTTTACAAAACTCATGCACTTCTGACCGCTAAAATAGATAAGGTTTTATCGAGATTGTTAAATTTTCACATTTTACTTCACATAATGATCTTAGTTAGACAACCTACAAGCATTGGATAGTTGTTTCGTCCTAATATAGACCTCCTTAGAAATACCCATCTACAACCCTAACACTGACGAGTAGAAACTAGAAACTTCAGTTTCGTGAGCCAACGCTTAATCTCATGACCACTGATCTGGAATCCAATGGTATACAGCATGTCTGGACTTAATTAATCTTTGTTATTTTCAGTAAATAATATCTAAACCCAAGATGTTTACCTACAAATGAACGAATCATAATTAGGGTCAGGGGCCCAGTTATCACAAATTTTCTCTAAATTGAAAAGTACACAGTTCATACATGTTTACATGTATGAGCTTTATTTAACCATTTCTATTTCTCTTTTTTTGAAATGCCATCAACAACAACAATAAAACGTGAGAAAAAGATAAACATTGTCTATGGTGATAATTACATATTTTGTTGGTATAATTTTGTTAATTATTAGAAATATTCACATTGGAAGTTGTTATATTACTAGTAACAATAATGCCGGTTGATGTAGAAAGACTAACATTATTATTATTATTATTATTATTATTATTATTATTATTATTATTATTATTATTATTATTATTACTGGTAATAGTTGAAACAGTAGGATTATTCACTGGAGCACTACTACTAATACTGCTGAAAATGATAGTCCCATTATTAGTTGTTGGATTGTGAACTGGATTGCTGAAAACAAGTTGAGTAGATGAAGTATTAGTATTAGTAGTAGTAATAGTAGTGGTAGCA